GGCCACACTTGGGAGTCGATCTCCCCAGAGTTCTAGTCCAGTGATGGCGAACCTATGACCGCGTGTCAGAGGTGACACGCACACTCATTTTTTTGGTTGACTTTCCTTTGTTAAGTGACATTTAGATATATAAAATAAATATCAAAAATATAAGTCTTTGTTTTACTATGCTTGCAGATATAAAAAAATTTCTATATGTGACACGGCACCAGAGTTAAGTTAGGGTTTTTCAAAATGCTGACACGCCGAGCTCAAAAGGTTCGCCATCACTGTAGTCAGTTGCCCAATTTGTATGTCTTAGTTCTCTCTTGTTGAATTAGGATGTGTGAGGGCAGCGCCGAGGTTCCTTGTGGCCCAAAGTAAATTCTTGGTAAATCTTCCTTTCTTTATCTTTGCTCTGGATTCCGGGAAGAAAGTGAAAGCAGCATGGAAGTTTAAACTAGTTTCTAGTTTTGAACCTTCTCGTGTATCTTTACCTACATCAGATCATTCAGTGCTATCTCCTCGCTCTGAGCACAGCTTCAAAGGTCACCTCTCTTGTCCCTGAGCCTCTTGTCTCTTTTCTTGAGCTGCTGTGAGGTAGTGCCCTTTCGTTCCTCAGTCGCCTTGCTTTCATCTTTGGTGTATCTGTCCCCTAGTGTTCACTGTGTAGGTAGACATTTTTTAAAAGATTTATTTTGGAGAGAGAAGGGTCGATGTGAGAGAGACATGATTGGTTGCCTCCTATTCATGCCCCAAAAGGGGAATGAACCACAACGTAGGTAGGTGCCCTGACCAGGAATCGAACCCGCCACCTTTTAGTGCATGGGATGACACTCAACCAACTGAGCCACCAACTGGGGCTAGATAGACGTTTTATTTAGACATCTCTCCTCTCCTGCCTTTTTGGGGATAACTTACTCTATTTCAAGAATTTCAATTTAAAATGAATTTATTTTTTTCTCCCCTTTGAAAATTCCCAGAAACCACTTTGACTGTAATATTTTTTTTCTTTTTCCTTAGTTTCTTTTTTTATTTGCTTTATTTTATTTTTTTGTTTTGTCTTTTTTTTTTTACTGCAGTGTATATTTAACTGCTGTCCTTTATGTTTACCTTACAGTTTACTCCAAGCATTTTTCTTCATTCCCTTAACTTATGTTATTAATAGGCCTAGTAAGAGATTTAGTGAGCATAGCAATGAAAATGTACGCTTTACTCAGTTATCTGTGACAGTGGGTCCCCCCCCCCCCCGAGAAGATGGGGCCAAGGGGCCAAAGCATGTGTGTCATCAGAGTTGCCTGAGATGCTTTTTCAGATTCATATGCCCCATCCCTTTCCCAACCCTTTTCCTGGAGGCAGAATGAAAGTATGCTGAGAGTTGTAAGAAACTTTTCTAGAATGTTTTACAGCCTCTAACCTGGGGTCCGTCGCCCTCGGTCGAGAAACAATCATTGTAGATTTGTTAGTTATAACAGTCTGGTCTGCCAATGCCATGGTTATTTGAGAGTTGGGTATTTGTTTTACTTCAAAAAAATAAAACTACACATATAGTTCACTTTGTTTGCCTGGGTAAGGACATTTTCAAATCAAAATACAAAAAAAGTGTGGTTTTAATGAATCATAAATTTGTTTGATGCAAGCACTTTTCCTGTTCTGAAATATTCACTTAAATACTAATTAATTAAAATATAACTACTTATTAACATGTTGCCATGGAGTGAATAAACTTCAGAATGCTAGAAACAATATGAAAAGTCAACATAGGTTATGTTGACCAATGTCACCCCAATAAATTTAATTTTTAAAAAAGTCAGCATAGAACAGTTTTAAAATTATTAATTCTGTTCGTAGGAAATATTTTGAGACTAGAGCAGTTTAGAAACATAATGAAACTCCGAATCAGAAAGACTAGATTTTAATTCCTGCTCTGGCACCTGCTGCCTTTCTCGGGCTGTGGAGCCCGCCCCTCGGGGTCTCAGTTCTGTCTTCGTGGAATGGTGATGGCCTCTCTCTCATAAAGTTGTTGTGAGGCTCACATGAAGTCATGAACGTGACAGTTCCCAGCACCCAGACATCCCATCACTGTTCACAGAATCTGATGGTAGCGCCTTTAAAACATTCAAAACATCCGGTGGATGTGTGCACACATGTGCTGTATGTATGTGCCTTGGAATATGTGAAATGTGTAAGTTATTAGGTTTACTATGTTTTTTGACTGCGGAGGTGGGTGATGGTTATTTAAGTGTAATGGTTTATGTATGTGAGTGTATTTCCTAAGGATACCACTTAAAATTATTTCTATTTTAGTTCTTTTGAGGTCGACTCTTACAAACGAGGCTAAAAAATGTGCAGTGTCCATTTTACAGTGTTACGGTCACTGTAGACTTCTTCTCGCCCTCGGCACTGGTTTCCTTGTGCTGGACCAGCTCTGGAGGCCGCCTTGGTCCTTACCAAGGCCAGTCACCTGACTGGCATGAACACAAACTTGTCTTCTAAACGGAAATTCAATATTAGTAGTTAGTCCTGTTTTGTGTCCATATCAGAAAGTGTTGGATTTAGTGCCTTGCTATCAAATATAAACTTGTGAAAGTTCATTTTCTCAGTGATATGATCACTGCATAGATACACGTTAGGTGCTTTGTGTGCGTTACCAACAACATTGCAGCAACCTGTAAGATAGGTGCTAGGCAGTTTTACATGTAAGAAAGCGCAGGCTCAGAGGGTAGATATGTTTCCCAAGGTCAGACCGCTGTTAAGAAAGAGAACCAGAAAGCAAGCTCAGGTGGGTCTGACCCCGGTGAGACGTGAGGCTGCTGCCCAGTCACTGTGGCTTATCAATCCAGGGGATGTGCTTTAAGGTATGAAAGAAGCTGGAAATATACTGAGGGCGCTTTTGGCTTTGGGTTGGGCAGAAGCCTGCAGGACAGTCAGACCGGGCATCTGATCTCCGGAGGCTGTGAGAGGCACTGTCGTTGACCCAGCAGCCAGACCCTGACGCCTCTGGCTTTCTCTCCTTTCCTCACGCCTGCTACCCTGCTGTCCCCTGATTTCTCCAGGCATTTCCAAGGCATCACTCATCACTTACAACTGTGCACCTCTCCCCACCCCACTTCCACTGCCCACCCCCCACCTTCCCGTGCAAAAGCGTAAAACAGGGTTGTTGTGAGGATAAATGAGTTAATATGTGTAAAGGGTTTAATAACGTGTCTAGTACATAGTAAGTACTCAACAAATGTTAGCTACCATTATTATTTTTTTTGTTGTTAAAATAATAGTATTATTCATGGTGGTAGTAAATGATTCAAAGGTTTTATGACACCTTCCTCAAGGATCTGTGTGTTCCCTGGCCAGGGGCTGGCTTTGTGTGGCTCATTGCATGGGGCCCCAGGCATGGGCGTGCTCAGTAAGGTGCACAGGATAGAGAGGGAGTTAGTAAGAGGGCGATTGTTTCCACACACCGGTTGGCAGAGTTTTCTCTGTGCTAGTTCATCGTCATCAGCCACAGAAGCAGTCCCACTTCCAAACCACATCTTTCTGCCCGGCTTTTTTCCTTTCCTTTTTATCTATGTTGAACATGAATGGTATTAAAGTCATTAACAGGGTTACACAAAAATTATTTATTTTAGTTTCACGGTTTGTAGCTATGCCTGCACGTGTCGTCTTCACACACACACACACACACACACACACCCCGCCCCACCCCAGCTCCTGTCCACTGGTCTACAGAAGCATGCCAGTTCAGCGTACTCCACCTGCAGGGGTTTCTCTAGTCCCATCCCCCACACACATACTGTTTTTTTCTATTTAATTTTTTTCTTTATATGTATTGACTTTATATTTTTAATTACATTTATTAGGGTGAATTGGTTAGAAAAATTCTATAGGTTTCAGTTGGTTTTATATTTTTGCTTTTCAGTTTTCTCACCTAATTCTTATGTTTTGTTATATTGCCTGATTTGAGTCATAGTTTGCATAGTAATGGAGTTTAACAGTGGGGAAGCTATTGGCAGATGCATGATTAACTTTTCCTATGGACCCAATAGAATTGAACACAGGCTTGGGGTTTCTTCAGCTATAATCTTGCATGAGAGCATTTCTATTTGTGCTCCCTCCCTTGACCCACAATATTAGGCTTTGCTTCTCTCAGTTAAGAAGATTTGGCTCTTACTGTCTCTTTGGGCAAATGATAACATGTGCAATCTTTGTCATCTCTTCTACCTCAAAACATTAAAAAATTGTTTTAATGTAATTTCTGATTAATCTTTCCTTTTCTCAAATATAAGTGTACAGTATACAAAAGGGATAACTTACAATTTGGGAATTATTTTGTTTTGAGGAAATGGACTCTTGTAATAAATAATATTTATTATAGTATCAATTCAAAAATAATTTCCATTCTTTCTAGACAGTCAGAATTCTAAAAAGTAAAAGAGGAAATTAACATTAATGGCTTTCATTAAAATGTTCGTATGTTTCCTTCTAGTCTACATTCAAGTTTATATATTTAATTTTATAATGTATTTTTATAATTATATATGCATTAGCTAAAGTTTTATATATTATTTTTATAATTATAGACATTTTATATTCAATTATATATTCATTAACTGAAGTTTACATATAAACTACAATTCATGTTATATTGTAGTATTACTATATTCCAGTAATTTGGGGGAGGGGATACAAGTTTGACAAATAATAAAACTAAAACCAATTATTTTTAAAAATAGATCATTTCTAATTATAAAATACACATGACAAATTTTCATTTTGGAAAAATAGATCATGGAAAAGGAGTCCTACAATTACTTTTCATTTCTGCTTTTAACAGTATATTTATAAGCAATTCTTCTTTAAAAAGCCTATCTACGATTAGATTTGTGAAATGTTTACACATCTGTGATTAAATTTGTGGAGGAGTATGGAATAGATGTTCTTTGCTTTTAGGCTGAGTCAGATGCGCAGTGAACCAGAATGTATTTTGTGGAAATAGTATCTCAATATTTTTCTCCATGCTTTAGGTATGTGTTCTTTTTGGATCCGTGCAATCTGGACTTGATCAACCGGAAGATCAAGTCTGAAGCACTGTGCGTAGCAGCATGTCCAAGACAAGAGCTGAAAACCCTGAGTGATGTTCAGAAGTTTGCAGAGATGAATGGTGAGACTTTAGGCATCTGAGTCTACATCCCAGTCACTTATCCTCACTTAAATTTTATGCATTTGCATTCTAATGTAAGTTTGCCTGGTGTTTAAAAATAAAAGTCATCTAAAAAAATCTTAAAAGGAAAAAGAGACTTGAAAGTGCTGTAGAATTTCCTTGTTACACAAAGGTTATAGTCACCTAGGGAGCTTGTTAACACTCCAGATTCCTGGGCCTCACCCGGGAAACTCTGACTGAGTAGGTCTTTGGACACTGAAAATTTGTATTTTTAACAAATATCTCAGGGGATATTGATGTATCCTATTTGAGTACTTGGGAATTACTAGACTATTCCAGGTAAAATTGGTGTGTGTGTGGGGGTGGGGGGGGGGTGTTCCTTCCTAAGTAATAGATGTTTATTATAGGAAATTTGAAAAGTTCAGAAAAAAGATAATGAAGTGAAAACCAAAGTTTCACCATATTTCAGTTTACTGTTGTATATAATTTTGTATTTGCATTTTTAATTTTACGTTGTGTCTTAACCATTTTTCTAAGAATGAAGTTTTGAGAAACTTTGAGGTCAAACATATGGGAATTAGCGGCAAAAACAAGCAGTCAATTTCCTGAACTCTGGCTCTGTTCTCTTGGTTTTCTAACCTCATTAAAATTCTCTCTAGAAAATTATTTAACCTCTTTTTGTGAAGGGCCACATCATAATAGCCCCCAAAGCCTGTGTTTTTGAACTTCCATGAGGTTTCATGTATGTATTTAGTGTGTAGGAGTCCTCAGAGCTGCCGCAGTCCTACCCAGATGCATAGGCTAGCTCTTGTTTCTTCAAACAAGGGTTGACTCAGCTATAACTTCTAGCCGGCTGGAGAAACAGCCTCGGGACACAGCTAAACACACACTAGCATGGCTCCATAGTCTATCTGATGGAGATGCTAGACTTCTCAGGGCAAAAATTCTACAGACTGGCGGTATTCCTGTCCGCTGCTAAATGCCCGCAGCATTAGTTAGTGGGAAGGGCACAGGGTTAATTTGATCTGGATTCTACTTCTGCCTCTGTCACTGACAGGCTCTGTAAGGAGGGACAGAAGGTGTAGCCTCTTTGAGCCTAGATCTCATCTAGTAAAGTATGGATTTAAAATAATGCTCCCCCTCCTAAGTTGTTGAGAGGATTAAATGAGATGATGCATGGGGAATCCTGGACACTTGCTTGGTGGGCATTGAATAAAGAGGCATCGACCACTCTTGAAGATCTCATTTTCTATTCCCACGTGATATCCTCAGATGTGTTGATGTGCTGAGTCTGATGCCAGAACTGTCAGCCTTGTCATTATCAGGTTTCTTAGGGAGGGATGAGTTACTCCTTAAGGGATTCTCTAAAATCTTAGTCAGTGTGAGCATATACAGTGTACTTTGGGAGGTGGTGCCATCGAGTGGTTAGAGTGTGGGCTCTAGAGGTAGATTATCCAGGTTCACAAATTGGTCCTTCCACTTAAAAGCTGGGAGGTCTGGGCAAGTTACTTGATCTCTCAATGCCTCAGTGTCCCCATCTGTGAAGTAGGAATGATATAAGTACCTAAACTACCTCCAGTGCTGTTATGAAGAGTTAAAACATGAAAAATGAGTAGAACAGTGCCTGGTAAATAGTATTTTGCTACAATATGGTAAAACTTGAAGACGTTATGTTAAGTGACATAAGCCAACCACAAAAGGACAAATACACTGTATGATTCCCCTGGGTAAGACATATACACCTTCATTTTATTATTTTTACCACTGACTTCTGAGCAAAGGATTAACATGAGCTGAAAGTAGAGAGCGACCTGAGGCAGGAAGACTATTACATTCCACTGGTGGAATAATAATAATTATAATTATAATAATGCAACAGTAGCATGGTGGTTGCCAGGGCTATGGGGAGAGAGGAATGAGAAGTTGCTGTGTTATGCATGAAGTGTTTGAATTTTGCAAGAAATGAAGAATTTTGGAGATGGATGATGGTGATGGTTGCACAACAATGTGAATGTACCTAATACCACTGAACTGCACGCTTAAACATGGTTAATATGTAAATTGTTATCATGAGTATTTTATCACAATTAAAATGTTCATGAAAGGGAAAGAATGACAGTTCGTTTTAAATGATAATTGTAAACCTTATTTTAAAGTGCAAGATAAAATAACATTTTTCTTACCAGAATGAAAAGATTATATACATCCTATTCAGGGAATTTTATGTTTCCATGACAACATTTGGAAGTACTTTTTAGCACTTACAACCATTCATTCATATGAACTTCTATTACCTTTACAAATTATTTAAAATTTATAAAGGAAACCTCTTGGCTCCTGTAGTAAGAAATACGTTCATTAGACAAATAAAATATTTCCTCAATTTTTGTTTCTTTTAGATAAAATAGGAGCTGTTTTCTTAGACATTTACGTTTGTGGACCATTCTGTCCAGTATGTCTGACTAGAATAGAAAGTTTGGAAGAAATAGCTGGAAATTAGATTGGTCATGTAATATGCTCTCATATTACAGAGTTTGGAAAGCAAGCAGAAGGTTTTAGGTGAATATAAAAGTATTAATTCTTGTATGTGCATTGGGTGGTAAGTGTACAAATGTGCATTTTATTATTATGGTTCATAGTTTATATGTGATACAAATATCACAAATATATGATGCTAGGGATTAAAATAATTTAAAAATTGTTTTTAAAAAGTGAAAGTTGCCAAATACCGCAAGGACTGAGAAATAAACTTCTTTGTTTCATCATCTTTCTTCACTAGTGCATGAGTTTCCTGGGGGCTGGATCTTACTCTCTTCATCTTGGAATATCCCAGCCATAATATAGGACTTAGCATAGTAGCTATTCATAAATGTTTCCTGAAAGAACGAAGCTGAAGTTCCCCCTTCATCTCTATTGCCACTTACTGATTTCCCGTTCTCTCAGCGTACTATATAGCCTTTGCTCAATTCTGTATCCATATGAGTTGCCACCAGCAGGTAAATTGTTTAGCTTCAATCTAACCAGAATTGCTGTGAAATCAGTTCTTTTTATTCACCTCTTAAATAATTCATCTTATGTATTCATTCATCTCTCTCACACATATTCTCCAAGTGATTATTCGTTCCATTTTTTTCTTTTAAGCCCTCTTGTTCTTCCTCTTTCCTAATCTTATTCCCTACAGAGAAACTGCAACCGGCCGGGGAGAGCTCATTTTCAGCAGAGCATGAATTCCATCAACTTTCGTTCCCTCCAGTTTCCGTTGAACAGGTTTCTGTCCTCTTTATTATCATTATTGTTGAAAACTCAAATAATGTGTACATTGTAGGGGGTGGAAATAATCCTTCTCCCGCCGCTGCTAACTTCATCTCAACCCAGCCAGACCATGACAGGTGGCGAAGGGAAGGGAAGATAATGCCTGTTCCGCCAGTTCTCCCCTCCTCTCTCCCTTCGCTGCTTCTGGCCCGACCACTACCTCTGGCCAGTAGACCACCCTTCACTTTACTCCAGGGCCCTGTTGTTATCATGGGCATCTAAGTCTGAGTGGATAAATCCTACGTAAGCCCTGCGTTGTGTCTGAGCAGACCACGTACTGGCACCTGCTTTGTACCATGCGCTGTGCCAGATGCTTTGCATGTCATTTTATCCTTTCCACTTGCAATCTGAATTCTAAACAACAGTTTAGAGATGAGGATAACCTGTAGTTAAGTTAGGGTGCTAATATTTTACATAGAATTCCTTATCACATTTTGCATTATTCCTATTTAACTTTTATAATGTATGTTTTGTTTTCTGTAACCTAGTAGGAAACTGGCAGAAACTTTCTTTTCCCTTTGTTTGTGCCCCGTTGATAGCTTGTAAGAAAGCACTCCCATTGAAGAGTGCTTCTTCGATGTACTGTAGTTTGGATACATCTTGAGAGCTTTGAGACCTGCCATTTGGGCCACGTCCAGATTTTGAGCAGAGCTGTGCAGCTTGGTGCTTTCTCGGGGATTATCGCTTTGTAGTTGAAAATCTTGAAAGATTATGTGATCCATTTAGATAAAATTTGTGGATATTAACAATACTTTTGATTATCATTAACTAATCAGTGACAATATAACTTAAACCACAGAGTTAGTATGGATTTTTTTTTTTTGGTACACTGAAATAAAAAAATTAGACTTGATATCAGTTATAATGAATGAAATAATCAACCCTATTTGATTGACTCCAAGTCAGAGATCAGCAAGGGAAGCTTGATTGTTGAACAAAAGTGGGAAAATTAAAAAGGTGAAGGGGTTAAGTAAAAAAAAAAAAACAGACACAGACAATAGCATGGTGATTACCAGAGGGAAAGGGAGGTAGAAAAGGGCATAGGGGGGATAAATGGTGAAGGAAGGAAGAAGAAGACTTGACTTGGGGTGATAAACACACATTACAATATATAGATGATGTGTTGTAGAATTGCACACCTGAAACCTATATAACTTTATTAACCAGTCACCCCAGTAAATTCCGTTTTTTAAAAAGTGGGAAAAATTCTTACATTCGATAATGCAATTTAAACTAATTCCTCATTCTACAAAAAATTAATTAGTACTGGTTAAGTATGTGCCAAAGAGACAAAAATAAGGTGTAGTCCTCATGTTTAAGGAGATTGCATCACAGTAGACAGTCCCATTCCTCTTCATCCTCCACAGTATAGAAGTCTTGCACATATATGTCAAAAATTCATTCACTCAGCAAATATTTATTGTGTGCCTAGCATGTGCTACTTAGTGGTTGGCTTGATATCACACCACCAGCTGGTTACTGGGTGCTTCTTGGGAGAGAGAGAGATAGAAACATCAATGATGAAAATCATCAATCATCTGCCTCCTGCACGCCCCCTACTGGGGTCGAGCCTGCAACCTGGGCATGTGCCCTGACTGGGAATCAATCCTGGATGCTCAACCACTGAACCACTCCAGCTGGGCACTGTCTTGCATATCTTGAATGGCATGGGAGGACAGGAGATAAAGAAGAGAAAGGATGACTTCCACATTTCATCTTGGGGATTTCATGGAGCCATTAACCAGGATTGAAAATATGTGGAAGGAGACAGAACAGATTTGGAGAGTGGGTAATAGAAATGTTTTGGGTTTTTAAAAAATATGTTGTTTTGGGATATCTATGGAAAAATATATCTTTTGCCCAGGAGCTTATTGAATATTTGTCTGATTATGATTATTAGAAATGACACAGAAGACGCATTATGGCCTAGAAGAATTCTACTTCTAAATTTGTTAGTGATTGTTCATGAGGCATTGGAAGTATTAATTTTTCCCCCATCAGTAATGTTTAGAGTGTGGTGATGGAAACATAACCTCTTAGGGGAGTTACAAGTGAATTGAGCTACAGAATAAATGATTGAATATTATAAGGCATTTGAAAAATTGTGGTAGTTAAACATTCTGGGAGCTATAGAAACCGTTTACTGAGATAAATGTGTATATACAAGCGTTAGATTCCTAAGATCATTCATTTTGATGGCATTTGAATAACATTGGCTGAGTTGCATGGATTGCCTCTGGTATGGTTTAGATAAGCTTTTTGTTTCTTGTTTTAGACTTTTCATTACTCAAGTATGTTTTTCCCCTACTCTTTGCATTAGAAAATATAAAACTTTGTCTTACTGCTTATAACCAAATCTCTTGTGCTAATATTGCTTATACTTCCATTATTTAAAAAAAAAAGATAGATACTACCTTAAAAATGTTCACTGAAAATGCATTAGCTAATAAGCATGGGAAGAAAAACAGCAACTGTAAAATGTTTGCCATTATTGGGTTGTCTTAATATTCTTCATTGAGGCTTCTCTGTCCATCAGCCCTTTGAACAGGAAGCAGTATAAGGTTTCTTCTGATTGTTACAACTAGCACATTGTAAAGATCTTTCTCCTTTAATCTATTTAGTACAGGATCTATTTAGTACTGGCCTGTGTCCCAGAATACCATCAGATATAAGGCTGTTATCCTTTCCCTGAGCATTATCCTAGGAAAGTATTTATAAAACTGAACTCTGTTGCACCTTTTGACCTCCTTTTTTAAATGGAGAGAGAGTGGGGGGTGGAGATTATGTTCCCAGAATTCAGGTGGAGCAGTGTTTGACCGCTCCGACACAAAGTGTTTTAGTTAAGGGCCTTTTATACTGTGCAAATCAATTCCATCTTGGACTCTGAAAGAAGTAAGTTGACAATTCAGATCAGGAAGTTGATCACATTGGGTGCCCAGCAGTTATTGGCACAGTTGCTATTTTTTTTTTCATGTGCAATTCCATAATAGGACTCCCAGCTATTTTAGGGATTAATCTGAAATGTTTGCTTGCCATTGCTTTAAGTGTAGTCAGGTGGCATTATCTTCATACAGGAAAGACTAATTTCAGAAGAGGTGGGTTTTTAATATTTTGCGAACTTAAGTAGTCATGACAATGGAAAAGAATGCTTAAAAATAATTCCAAAAACTTAGTTTCCTATTGAGACTATCTTAAGAAGATGAAGAAACTTGAAGAACAGTGCCCTGTAACTTTCAAGTACCTCTTCAATTATCTTTACATAAAATAGATGGTACATGTATTTATGTAAGTATGCTATTACAGCCCACATATTTAAACACTTGACAAGTTGGTTGCTGGTTTGGGGGCAGTATTACTGAAGTAAATGCAGGTTTGTGGCTTTCTAAGATCTTATTGTTTGATAGAACAAGATATAAATGAAGTAAAATCACTTCTAGTTGTGTTGTCCCAACAAATCTTTTTTTGTATTTCCTTCTAGTTTCTTCTCACGTCCTTACATGATGTTTCTGTAATTATTTCAGTGTGAAAATCCACCATTTTCACTTCACATTACATTTTACACTTTTCCTGTGGTGGTACATTTAAAAAGTCCATTTTTTTCTATAGCATAAATGCAAAGTTAATCCTATTTCTATTTAATAATAAAGTATTTGACCAAATTAGTAATCTAGTAAAAATGTCGCTGAAGCCGGTTTGGCTCAGTGGATAGAACGTCGGCCTGCGGACTGAAAGGTCCCGGGTTCGATTCCGGTCAAGGGCATGTACCTGGGTTGCGGGCACATCCCCAGTGGGGAGTGTGCAGGAGGCAGCTGATCGATGTTTCTCTCTCATCGATGTTTCTAACTCTCTATCTCTCTCCCTTCCTCTCTGTAAAAAATCAATAAAATATATTAAAAAAAAAAGAAGTGGATAAAAATGTCAACTAATGAAATAGAAAAATTTACATGATATAAGGCTGTAGGTCATTGGAAAAATTAGACTATAGTCTAAATCTCCTCAGTTAACAATATATATTGTACAATGAGCCTTACAATATTTTAGCTGCTATATTACAAGTTATTAAAATATTTATCAATTTGGTGGATTGTATTCATCTGAATTTTCTATATTGTGTAGATAACTATTAGCCATATAATCAGAGAAATAGATGGTTGCATAACCAATCTAGGATTGAATTTAAGTTGTTTTAAACTATCTGAAAATTGAGGATTCTTTTATCAGTTTACCAGTTTAATCAATTTGTTCAGTTTAATTATCATTTCTTGCCTTTTAAATAAGAAAAACGTAATGTATTATCTGAATGTGCATGTGCTCTGGGCAATAATTTTAAATAGTAATGGAAAGCATAGGAAAGAGAAGCAGCCTATGTAATTGGATGTGGGTTTTGTGGTCAAAGAGATCTAGACCTCTACTGCTTAGTAGCTGTGTCATTTGGGGCAAGTTATTTACCTTATTTCTTAGCCTCTATTTCCTTCTCCATAAAGTGGGTTTAATAATACATACCTGCCTTATAGGGTTATAGTAAAAGATACAATTAATATTTATGGGATGAGAGGAGAGGCTTACCCCACCGGTAACTTCCTAAGAGTTCCCAGCATATGGGAGGAGGGGACAGGTTCCCCGTTCCCACCTCCACTCCCAGCCCTCCTCTTGAGATGAGAAACTTGGGTGGGGCACAGAACCAACCTTGGGAATGGGGTGCTTGGCCTAATCCTCAGAAGCAGTAGGGCTGGCAAAAACTCTTGGTTTCTTCAACAGAAGAATTTAATCATGTTTCTTTGGTTCATTTGTTTAGAGACATTCTTGGATGCAGTTTGGTCAGTTAGAATTGCAGTTGATTATTTTTTTAAAAAGAAATATATATCTCCTGACATATGGCAGGCAGCAATCACCCAATAAAGGTAGTTCTAGTACTTGTTATTACCCTTAATATTATCACTTAAAATTTGTATGTAAGTTACTGCAGGAGAAACGTTTTAAATGATGGAGGACCAATACCATAGACCAAATCAGATTCTTTGTGATTATATAATGTTTGAAAGTTATATATGTTGAATTAACATTCACATACAAAATAAAATTAAAGTGCCTTAATAAGAGAACTTACTCAGACTCTGTTTGCTAACGTTTAACTTTCTTTCAACAGGCTCAGCACTATGTCACTACAAGCTAAAGCCTTCTGAATATACATCTTCAAAAGCGTCTTCTCTTTGCCCCAAACTACCAGTTCCAGCGAGGTAAATGTTATCGTATTTGTTAACTTGTGACTTTTGTTTTCATAGGTAGATTGTAAGCTGTATGTTATTCTGAGAAAAGGGTCACTTGATGATACCAGTTGTCTAGGTCCAGTACTTTTACATCAAAAATTTAAAAGTAGTAGTAGAAATAATAGCATCTAATTTACATCTTAAAAAAAACACACACACAGGCAAACAACTTTTCTTATTATCAGGTATTTTACATTTCTTGTGGGGGCTCCCCCTTTTTTTTAATGCCTTAATATTTAAGTATACAAAATTGCCGAATCATAAAATCTGCGGTAAACTTAGAAGCCAAGCCTCACAGTCCAAAGATTTTCTGAAATTGATCCTACAAATACTTATGAGGATTATTTTTCAATTTATTTTGAAAATTAAAAAAATATATATGGCAGTGATTGTTCTCCTTAGTTTATTTCAGGCTATATCCTTCAGGTACGTTCTCTGCTATAGGCTGTTTGCATATCTTATCCAAGGTCTTATTCAACAGACATTTATTATTAAGTACCTACTGCATATAATGGATACAAGGATGAGAAATAATCTCACGGTAGTTATAAGTAAATCAAATTTTAAAATTTATACTGGTAAATAGATTTATAAGAAAGGAGATAGCCCAGCTGGTGTAGCTCAGTGGTTGAGCGTTGACCTGTGAACCTGGAGATCAGGTTTCAATTCCCAGTCAGGGCACATGCCCAGATTCTGGGCTCATCCCTGGTGGGGGAAACACAGGAGGCAGCCAATCAGTGATTCTTTCTCTCATTATTGATGTTTCTATCTCTCTCTCCCTTCCTTTCTTCTCTGAAATCAATAAAAAAAAATTTTTTTAAAAAGAAGATCAATTTTCAAACACTGTAGAAAATGTCCTCAGAATTGGGCATACAGGATTTAGAACACGTCTGGTCTTAAGAACCTTTGCATGTATCACTAACCGTGTCTGACATGAGTCAACTTCTCTAGGAATACTGAATTGAACCACTTTTATTGTATCTCAGTATATTATAGCAAGCTATTGCTTAAAATTTTGACAGTCATGTCTATTTTCCTTTGGATTGCTTATAGGTGTGATTTGTGTGTTATTAACTTGAATTTGAAATTTTCTGTTGAAAAGTAGACAAAGGACATATCCATTAAATTGATTTCAGCTTTTAGTCTTGTCAAGTTGCTATTGATGTTAAAATTTTAAGCCTTTGGACGTAAAAATGAAGGGACTGTTTTATAAGATATTAAATAAAAGGGATCTACAAATTATGGGCTTAGACTAATAGGTAAGGAGACTCCATTTGTGAAAATTGAGAATATTGGGGAGGCTATCACAGTAAAGAAGTAGAGGTCCTTTGAATAGAGTCTCTGGAGAAAATTTATCAATGTAAGAAAAGCTTTATCTCACTGAACTGTTAAAGCCTGTTTTAAATGCATAGTTTGAGTAAAGTCACTATTTTAAGCCATAAATGTATCCTAAAAGCATGACCAGAGAGCCTTGGTCTGAGAATGAGGCTCTGCTCCTATACAGTATGGGTTGGGGGCAGCTCATACCACAAATTCTCCTCCGTCTCTGATCTCTGATTCTACCATGTTGGGGGCTGCCTATTTCTGGTTATTTGAGGTGTTTTAATCTTGGCTGCACAGACATACACATCTCACATACAGCATCCTAAGGGCATGCCCCAAAAGACAAAGCCTCGTAGTAAGAGGGGCTTAGATTTTAGAGATGGACAGACTTGGCTTCTAACAAGGTCATCCACTAATGTGTCAGTAATCCAAGATGCAATGATGAACTTATACCAGTGATGGCGAACCTTTTGAGCTCAGCTTGTCAGCATTTTGAAAAACCTTAACTTAACTCTGGTGCCATGTCACATATAGAAATTTTTTGATATTTGCAAGCATAGTAAAACAAAGACTTATATTTTTGGTATTTATTTTATATATTAAATGCCATTTAACAAAGAAAAATCAACCAAAAAAATGAGTTTGCGTGTCACCTCTGACACGCGTGTCATAGGTTCGCCATCACTGACTTATACTATCCGAAAACTGACTATATAATATGTTTATCCTTTATTTAAAGACCCTTATAATCTAAGTGTCTTACCACTTTTATCTGAACTCAGCCTATTAGAAAACAGAGGAGAAGAAATAGTTGATAGGAGGAAGGTAAATTATAAATATTATTATTTACTATTTGGCAAGCAAGGTGAAAGGATCAGAAAACAGAATAAATTGGTTTTAATAAAACACGTGGGACACTACCTTGTTTCACAATAATATTAGATACCAAATCTAAAAAGTCGACTAAGATCTAGTCTCTGTCCCCAAGAAACTCTGTCCTTAAAAAAATTAGGGACTGTTTTTGTACATGATGAATATATCTATATATATAAAAGCCTAAGCAACCAAAGGACTGAACGACCAGTTGACCAGTCGCTATGATGCACACTGACCACCAGGGGGCAGGCGCTCAACAAAGGAGCTGCCCCCTGGTGGTCAGTGCATTCCCACAGCCAACCTCCCACACTGCCGCCCCACGCCGGCCCACCGCTATGGCCCCAATCAGGGCAAGCCGCTGGCCAACCTCCTGCGGCCCCTCCCCCAGGCCTGCTCGCCCTGATGGGCCCTGGGCCCTGATCTGGGCGGAAGACTGCCCCAATTGGCCCAGATCGCCAGCCAGGCCGAGGGACCCCCCACCTGTGCACGTATTCATGCACTGGGCCTCTAGTATATATATATATATTGCTCTAGGCAAACTTGTGATGCAGGCAAATGGCTCTTGGCATCTTTTGTATCTCTTTTTTATCCTCCTGGGAGCACCCTAGTGGGACAGAAAGAGCTGCACTTTGAGCCCAGATAGGCCTGGAAGTGATTTGGGGTGGGGAGGTGGGGGGCGGAGTGAATTCTCTGTCACCACGTTCTATTGGTCAGCTTGAGCAAGTCTCTTAATCTCTCTGTAAACAAAGTTTCCTCATGTGAAATGGGAATTTAATACCTCTGCCATGGAATTATAAGAATTAAAAACAATAATATGTGTGACACACCCATTATTGTGCTTGGCATTTGGCTTGATAGTATTATTTCTCTCAACCTCTAGAGCAGGGGTGGGGAACGTCCAGCCCATGGGCTATATAAGGCCTGTAAAATTATTTGGTCTGGCCCTGCCAAGGCATTAGGGATGAGTTAATTAAATGTTTGACCAAATATAGCAGGCTAATTTTACTCAAATTCATAACTCTCTGTTGGTGACATGTTAAGCAATAAGGAGACAAGCTAGTCTGTACACTTACAATGTTTAAAGGTTTAGGTATAGACAGAGAAAATCGAAATAGTAGGAACGGATTACATAAATTCAGTTTATTCATCCAACATTGATTTAGGTACCTCTGGATACCAGAAAGGATGCTGGATGATGGGGAGTTAATAACATAATAATAGAGATGGTAAACTAACAGCCAAGAAAAAAAATGTTATCTATTTATTTTTAAAGTGAAGGATTCAAGGTAATTTTTTTTATTCAAGGTAAATTAACATTTATAAATCAACTCCTGTATGCCAGCTACCATATTAAGCTACTCATATGTATAATGTCATTTAATCCTCACAAGAGCCTATAAGGATATTGTCCCAATTTGTAGATGAGGAAATAGAATATAAGAGAGATTAAATGAGTTATTCAAGGGCATACAACTAATTGTTGGGAATCAGAATTTGAATCTAATATTTTGTAAAGTCTATCCTACAGTTCGTTGTTGTTGTTGTTTTGGGCGGGGGCGGGGGGTGGTTGTTTGTATTTTAAAGAGAGACTACAGGAATGGGAGAAGAGAAAAAAATAAATGAAATGTATGAAAACCATTTCATATTGCCATTAGATTCTTGACTTACTCTTTTCCTACCTTTTCTGTGCTTTGGAGATATTGCCAGAATCCTCTATATTTTTCTTCGTTCTTAAATAAACCCTTTAGTTAGAAATCAGGTGTAATTGTTTATTTATAACCTGAGGTTGTTTTTTTAATTGAGGTAACATTGGCTTTATAACATTATATAAGTTTCAGATATGCAACATTATAATTCGTCATCTGTGTGTATATCATATCATGCTCACCACCAAAGTCTAGTTTCCATCTGTCACCGTATAACTGACCCCTCTTTACTCATTTCACCTTCCCTCCACACCCCTTCCCCTCTGGTAACCACTGGTCTATTGTCTGCCTCTATGAGTTATGGCTTTTGGTTTTCTGTTTTATAACCTGAAGTTTAATAAAATAATTGTGTGAGATGCCAACACCTGTCTTCTCTTCTGAAGGCATATGGAGAAGAGATATTAGGCATACTTTGAGGGACCTCATTAATTGTGATAGTCTCGGCTTAAAGGCAAATGGACAGTCTGTTTGCCAAGGTAAGATACAATTCTCCTATGAGTGGATCATTTTTTTAAAAGTCTTTAAAAGACTCATTATAAATTCATTTTGTTCTTGTTCACTAATATTTCAATAATGTGAAACAGCAACAGTTCCTAATGGAACAACATTGACTTCTTAAAGATTCAATGTTCTGTGGGCTTCGAAAAGTAGTAAAACTTACTGCAAATATAATTCTTTATGCTTGTCCTCTTAAGAAGCACAGAATATGTCATGTAGGTTAGTCACTAAAGCAGAAATGGTCTCATATACTAGGTTCTCAGAATTATTATTTTCTGAGAGGTAGATGAAATCAGCTAACTCATCTAATCCTAAATTCATTAGATCACATGGGATTTAAATAGTAAAATATAAGACAAACCATAATGCCACGATTATATAGATTTTAAAATAAGGAAACAATTTAAACATTTACTCGTGGATGGTGGAATTATTTGGGGGGAAGAGGTGAAAAAAAGAATGACATATAAAGGGATCTAATGCTTTTTACTTTAAAGCTGTGTTTAACTTCATTTCTTACTACTCTGTCCAGATATTATCTTCCCCTTTGCCTTCTATTTCTATTACTCTGTACCAGTGAGAGCAGATTTTGACCGTCAGCTAAAAAATGTAGTTAATCAGCTTGTGCTAATTTTATAACCTTCAAATTTAGAGCTGTCAGGATTTTTTTCCTTAACTGACATAGATTGAATGATAAGGCAACGGGCTATTGTTATTGTGCTTCATTTCTTTGAGGGATACGTGTAAAAGTACCCTCTTCAGTTGCATGTGTTTATATACATTATAAAAATGACGAGAAAGGGTAAGTTCAGAGCAGGTATTATTCAGTCTTTTCTCTTTAAAAAAATGAAGGATTTGAATTTTAACAGAAGAACCCTTCCCTTTTCAAATAATCTGTTCTCATTCTAAGTCTGAAAAGCAGAAACATACTAAAGATACTGAGCTTGCTGCTTCTATGAACTTAGAATCATTCATTCATTTCTGGGTAGGCATAATATTATTGTTATTACTATTCATATCAGAAAAGACAGAGGACTTATTCCTACCTTTTCACCTCACAGATGGAAAAACTGAGAAAGAGAGGTGGAGTGATGTACAACTCTGTCATGTTAGGAGAATCGCCCAGGGCTTTTGAACCCTAGTCCAGGTTTCTTTTATCACAGGCTTCACTCTCTTTAGAAATGATGTGTGTTTCTTTGAGTATAAAAATACATCAACATCTTGTTAGGCCCTAGCTGGTTTGACTCAGCAGATAGAGGGGTCAGCCTGCGGATTGAAGGGGTCCCAAGTTCTATTCCGGTCCAGGGCACGTGCCGGTGTTGTGGGCTCAATCCCCAATAGGGGGCATGCAGGAGGCAACCAATCAGTGATTCTCATCATTGATGTTTCTATCTCTTTCTCCCTCTCCCTTCCTCTCTGAAATCGATAAGAATATTTTTAAAAAAACAAAAAACATCCTGTTAGGATATGGGAGCTGTAGGTATAGCCATCTCTGGCCAGGGGATCAAGTTCACTATGGTTATCTGACAGGAAAAGGGAAACAGGAAAGCAGGGCCAACAAATTGGTGGGATTAAGTATGAGAAAAAGACATCGGTAGTACCCTTAAGATAGATCTATTTTATGTTTAAGGTTGGAGGCAAGTGAGTTAAACAGAGGCTGCATCAGAGATGATGGGGTAATAAGGCAAGTGAAGATGTATATAATCATGGACCCGAGAGGACTTTAGTTTTGCAGGCTGGAGAACCACGCCTAGTTAAACATAGGGTTAGACTTCCTTAGATGCGGACATTAACCTGGTAGTAACAGTATCTAGACAGCATCAGGAAAAAACAACCACGCACATACACACACAAAAATGAAAAACAGTTGTAGGTCCCAACAAAGTTACCAGTTTAACGGTTTCTTTCCCCTAAATCAGCCTCTATTACAGCGGTTCTCAACCTGTGGGTTGCGACCCCTTTGGGGGTCGAACAACCCTTTCACAGGGGTCGCCTAAGACCATCGGAAAACACATATATAATTACATATTGTTTTGTGATTAATCACTATGCTTTAATACTGTTCAATTTGTAACAATGAAAATACATCCTGCATGTCAGATATTTACGATTCATAACAGTAGCAAAATTACAGTTAGGAAGTAGCAACGAAAATAATTTTATGGTTGGGGGTCACCACAACATGAGGAACTGTATTAAAGGGTCAAGGCATTAGGAAGGTTGAGAACCACTTCTCTATTGGCTTAGGAATTTATAGTTAATCCTATTTTATCTTTTTTCTTATAATATGTCTAAGTCCAGCTCATTTAAAAGTATTCTGTAATTTAACATCTTTGTATATCATTAGCGAAACAACTTTTAGTGAAAAAACAACTATGATTTGCATACCCTTAATACAGGCATTACTCAGAATGCTTCGGCTTTCTGCAGTTTCTGCCAAAATATCAAATCTTTGGTATTAGCTTTCATTAAAACTATTTTACTAACACCATTTTAGAGGTATACACAGATACACCCATTGATCACAAGAGGCAAATTTTTACAAATAAACATTTATGTCAAATTGTCACATCATTTTGGGCTACATTTTACTGAAGCATAACTAAGGTAAGGCAAGTTCTTTAAAGTTATATTGTCTTATTGTTCCATGAAGTTTACCAGTGTGGAAGACGTTGCTTATTCTCACTCCCAGTGGTGCTTATTGATCAACATTTGAGGAAGGAAACTAGGATGGTACTTTGCTTGTGGTCATACAAAGTTGCTTTGCTGAGATTAGAAACCTTAGAATCTGATGCTCAACCATGTAATCTTATCTACTGATTTGACCCACATACAGTGCCAACCAAGAATAAGAACATAGTTATATCATTCTAGTCAAAATGGTATATTAGAACTGTGACTAACAGCCCCACAAATAATTCTGAAGATGTGGGATTTACATTAGCAATGGCTAAAATCTAACTTAATGCACACGTAAATGTGTATTCATGCATTGATACACACATAGAGCTGTCTTAGAATCCAAAGAAATCTCAGCTGAGGGCATGTTCATAGAGCTTTGTTTAAAATCTCTTAGTGATTAGATGTATACCATCCTCTCAGAAGGTAAAGTAGAACCATGTTAGTAACAAACCTGATTAATGTCATGGTGCACACATAGCTATGTTCCTTCACAAGTAAAATGCAGTCCATACAAGCCTGAAGCAGCAGATTACCTCATTTTTGGACACTAATAATCTTAAAGTAAAAACATATAAAAAGAAAGCAAATAGCCCCAAATCCCATAATACTACCAAATAGAGATTTTTCATTTGCTTATATTTTTTTGTCCTGATTCATATCTATATATCTTTTATACAGAGATGCCATCATCACATTAGATACATATTTTTGGTTATATTTCCCCCTTGTGCTCTTACATCATCCTTATTTCCATACATGAGTATTCATGGTTATTGTTTTACATAGCTGCAGATTATGCTGATTAAGTCATGCACATGCCTCAGTATGACTTAGTTTACAGGAATTCCTAAGCTTGTGCCCAAACATCTTTTTAAATTTAAGGTTTTTGTATGTCGTTCTGATAGAGGAGACCATTCCATTAACAGGGGCACATTTCAAGCAAAAGCCCAGGTGTGTTTTTATTTTTAAATAGCTTATGGCAAAAATTCATTTTCACTTCAATGAAAGATACATTTGTAAGTTTTGTCATGTACCCCTTGACTGATAGATGTGTAGGCTGAGGAGTTCAAGTGTTTGGGTTTGCTTCTGGAGGTTGTATCTGTGTGTATGTGTGTGTGTATGTGTGTGTGTTTCTTTTCAGAAGGGGAGGGTAATGTCTTCTGTTGGAATATGCACTCCACCCTCTTTGATAAGGTTTGTGGTAAGAGTTGCATCACTGCCCATGACAGTCATCTTCATAGCATTAAGCTCACAGCTCTTAGCTCCCATATGACGTGTGGAGGGTGGAGTGTATTGCAGTCACATTCACCTTTCATTTGTGTGTTTGATGTGGCATTTATATTAAGTAGGAGTAATTTTTTTTCTGATTTTTTTTTCTTGTGTCACCAGTGCACCTATTCCATTCTTCCATCGCTGTGCTCCTGTGAACATTTCCTGCTATGCCAAGTTTGCAGAGGCCCTGATCACCTTTGTCAGTGACAATAGTGTCTTACACAGGCTGATTAGTGGAGTAATGGCCAGCAAAGAAATTATATTGGGACTTTGCTTGTTATCACTAGGTAATTGTTTTTCTCATTATTAGCTATTGCATAGTACTGCAGCAGAAGACTGTTTTGTCTTTTAACCAAAAATATGAATACAACTGGGGATACTTGTAAAATGTTTCACTTCCCATAGCCAAAATAACTGTTTCAGATTATATATAGTTATATATATCTGAAACTCATTTCTGTTCTTTTCCTCTCATTGGAGAAAACTAGTGTTTTCTCCAAACTTTGGTTACTAAGTCTATAATAACCTTTAACGTTATAGCAGGAGACTTCTTTTAACAAATCAATGCCCCTTTGTTTTTAGTTATGAATCTAATCTTTTGGTTTATTCGCTTATAAAAAGAGGCCACATATTTTCTATATATATTTCCATCAAAGAACATAGATTTCTGATTGATCAGATATTTAACCCTCCCCATCCCCCATGCAACAGGTCATAGTATCACTCTATTGCTGGGAAAATTAGAAAATCTCCACTTGTTAGCCATTGAGTTTTCTCATCAATAAATAGATAATATAATCAAATAAAACTGTTATTTTCAAGATGTAAACACCCTATATTATCGCAGAACTATATGTAGCCATATTAGAATTTATAGACTTTTTTAATAAGGGAGAAGGAAACTGGTAGGAACCAAACGACCATTTCATTTTTTACGTAAAACGATAGTTATGCCTGTTAACAAGTATACTGGTAGTCATCTGGAAGACTAGCTCTATTTCCATCTTGTCATTAGAGAGTCTTTTCTTTTTGCTTAGGTGTAGTACTTGACTCAGTTGATAAAAAGCCTGACCATATGTGAAGCTATTTCTATGATATTTGAAATGCTCCAATCTGTTTTTGGTTCCTGTACATTTATTGCAGAAGTGAGTATCCTAATAATGTCACCTAGTCACAGATCTTAATTTTGTTGGCTTTGTGAATGGCCCATAAAAGCTTGACTATTAGCCCAGTTTTATATAAAAATTATTTGGTTTCTGAAATAGTTGAATTCTTTACCAAGAAAAAAAATTTAAACCTTAAAAATAGTGATAATAATGTTAAGTCATTGGAATTCCAGCTTTTTCTTAGAGTGGTTCTCTTATGAGGTTTAAGATGTTTGTCCATTTGTTTTGTGAAGTGGGCCTTTAGATAATTAAAAGGTGAACAAATTATGATTTCAACAACAAATTTCCCCATAAAATGGGCTAAATCCCCCCACTTTCTTTTTTGAGATTTTTCACTCAGTATTTTAGCATGTTGGAATTTAGCTGGGGATGGGTAAAAGGGTTGACTAAATAACTCAAACTTTGAGGCCAGAGGAATTTTGGCTTCAGTAGGCTTCAGGATATTGTCCCATAGGGCCAGACCATCTCTTGGAATTTCAGAGGAGAAACAACCAGAAAAAAGATAAAATACCATCTAGTTTATAGACCAACCATCAGAGAAATTGGTCCTAAAATGCATAAATTACTCAAGGAAGTGTAGCACCTAATTTAACTGCCTCTCTCTCTCTCTCCACATGTGAGAATTTTTCTGGTCACCCAACATGACATGTCATTCTCCGCACTTTGTGTGTTGGCATGTGTGTTTGCATGTGAGCTCTGATGCCTTTCTGTTGTGAATTCACAACAGTCCTGTGCTGTTTTTGAGTCACCATGTGCATTTGCATGTATCCTTTTCTGTGTTTATTCAGCCACCTTAGGTGCCTGTGGTTTCAAGTGGCACAAGTACCAAAGTCAGTGCAAAAGCAACCTGTTTCCTTTGTTACCTAAATTGGGATCATGAACTTGTCAATAGCAACAAATTATTTCCATGGGAGAAAACAGCTGAAAGAATTTATCTTTATATTTTCCAGTGTTTTCCAAATAATATTCTACATGTTTTCTATTTATCTTCCCTGCAGTTCTATCCATGATTTTGATGGTGATAATCAGGTATATATCAAGAGTACTTGTGTGGATCGTGACAATTCTGGTCATACTGGGGTCACTTGGTAAGCTGCTTACTTCTTTGTTTTTCAGTAATTAGAACTGAGAATTAAAGCTTGCTTCTGACACTGCCTCAGTTTGGAACTACTTTGATTATTTAAAAAAAAAATTTCTGCTTTGCATTAATTTAAACTGTAAAAAGACTGATAAGTGGATGACATTGAAGTTAGGTCATGCTGAGATCAATAAATCAAATAAAAAGGTGAGGTCATTGGCAAATGGAGATTATTTTTTAAAGGAGCTAACTTTTTTTTTTAATCTGGGGGGAAGAACCCAAGAGAAAAGATAGCAATTGAGGCTCTGTTTGGCTTCTGGCTCTTTAATTTTCACTTGATTCTTGCAATGTTCTCTGCCAAGCAAGTGAAGGAATCCTTTTCTTTTATCTGGCACTTTGTAAGGTCTGAATCAGCCGTTGTAAGGTGTTGAAGTTCTTTCTGTTTGAAAAGTGTTTCTGGCAGAATAAGAGTGTGTGTGTGTGTGTGTGTGTGTGTAAAATTTCATTATCATTTTTCTGTCTATTGACATTCTATTTTGTTTACTGTTTGTAATGAAACTTTCTGGGCCTTCTGTGTTTATTGTCTTTTTTTTTTTTTAATTTCCCCTTCCCACTTATAAATGTGATAACTACTCATGGTATCTAACTACTTCCGTGGTAGAAAATAGAAATATAGAGAAGAAAATAAAACTTTTAATTTTTACATGCTATATCTTCTTTTTTAGAATTTACCTCTTGCCTAGTACACTCTTTTCTTAGTTTCATAGATTTTTCTCTTCCTGTTTTTCTTTTGTTCAAATCCATCAGCAGTGAGGCCCTGCTTACCCATCTTATATAAAATTACAGTGCTTTCCCAGTGCCAGCACTTTCTGTCCCTCTTACTAGATGACTTTGTTCTTAGACTTTATATGCTATGTTTTTACTTTCCCCCCTATTTTTATGTTTCCCCATTGCTATGTATGAAGCTTCATGAGGGGTGAGGGTGGGGACTTGGCTTTGTTCACTGCTCTATCCCCAACCCCTAGAACAGGAGATCCTGTTCCAGGGGTGGGCAAACTTTTTGATTCAAAGGCCAAAATGGGTTCTTAAACTGGACCGGAGGGCCAGAACAAAAGCATGGATGGAGTGTTTGTGTGAACTAATATAAATTCAAAGTAAACATCATTACATAAAAGGGTATGGTCTTTTTTTTTTTTTTAGTTTTATTCATTTCAAATGGGCCGGATCCGGCCCGCGGGCCGTAGTTTGCCCACGGCTGTGACACTCAAAATATTTGCTGAATGGATTAAACGAAGGGTTTGCCTCTGTCTTCAGTCCAGTTCTCGGAATCTGAACCAGCACTAGAGATAAAAGTTCCCATCCCTCGCACCCACCACTGTCAAAGATTTTCTGCCTTTGTTTTCATCTTTGGTGGGAACTACTCTTTTGATCTTCATTTATTCATTGTACAAATATTTCATCCGCTGCATGACTGTCGGCGCTCGGTGCTAGGGTGACCGATGTGTACGCAGAGAAGATCTTTGTCTTTCTCGGCTTCGTTGCTGATTTCTGTGACCCTTCCTTGCTCCCTCCAGGATCTCTAGCTTAAACCGATGCTGAGGCTCTCTTTGTAGCCAGCTCCACTTGGGGTACTTTCTATCTCAGCTTCAACGTCAGTAATCAGTACAGTTGAAGGAAGTGTATTTGGTGTACTGAAAGATTAGTGAGTGTCTATGAGTGTCTACAGAAGGTGGTAGTGGAACAATTAGAGCTCCCCTTTCACTGGCAAAAAAGTTATAGCTATGCGCCTCCCAGCCAAGTGGATTGCTGCTGCACTAGTCTCATGATGGATCCAGAAAATTGAGGATTTGTCAACACATTTTCAGGTGCTAATTATTGCAAAAACAGTTGTGTGTGTTTTTTGTCTCCAGGTGGCACAGGTGTACTATGGTGGCTATATGCAAAACAAAGAAAGTCTCCCAAAGAAACAATTATTCCTGAGCAGCTCCAGATAGCTGAAGACAATCTTCGGGCCCTCCTCATCTATGCCATTTCAGCTACAGTGTTCACGGTGAGTATAGGTTCAGGTTTATGCTTTTATTTACAGGAGATCATTAACGGAGGAGAAACTCACCTCTAGCTATGGCATGCCTAACCTTGATCTTCATTAGATAAAATCTCTGTCCCACAGCTGGCTTCCCTAATTGGTGAGTGCTACTGATGCAACATTTTGCTCTGCACAGCCTGCTTTTTGAGAGGATTTTCACCTAGAATATTTACATTATTATTTACTAGTAGAAAATATTTCTTATTGTCACAGGATAATGTAGTTACTTCTTTAAAAAGACTTTCTTTTTACTATAAAAAAAGTATGATTAGCCCTAACTGGTTTGGCTCAGTGGATAGAGCGTCGGCCTGTGGACTGAAAGGTCCCAAGTTCGATTCTGGTCAAGGGCATGTGCCTTGGTTGCGGGCACATCCCCAGTAGGAGGTGTGCAGGAGGCAGCTGATCGATGTTTCTCTCTCATCGATGTTTCTAACTCTATCCCTCTCCTTTCCTCTGTGTAAAAAATCAATAAAATATATATTTTTAAAAAGTATGATAGGAAATGTCACCTCGTCATTTCATTTATTTGTTTACTAATTATTTCCCATTTTTCCTTGTAAACTTTTCTTTTAACAACATTATTTCAAAAAATATAGGTGAGCTTTGCTACCTAGCACCTGTACAGTAAAATTACAAATTAACATGGGGGTAAATCATCTATATGCATTTCTTTGGTTCATCTCCTTCTCCTCTCTGAAAAAAATAAAAAAGACATTTCCCTCCACTTCTAGGTATAATCCTAAGCTTTTTAAAAAAAAACATATTTTTAAATTGATTTTTAGCAAGAGAGGAAGGGAGAGAGGTAGAGAGAAACATCATTGATTGGCTACCTTCTGCATGCCCCCTACTGGAGATCAAGCCCGCAACCCAGGCATATGCCCTGACTGGGATTCGAACTGGTGACCTCTTGGTTCCTGGGTCGATGCTCAACTGCTGAGCCACCCTGGCTGGGCCCAAGCTTTACATTTAGCATTAGAAACAAAAAAATAAAGCCACTGGTGGAAAAATATATGTTTGTTATTATTATACAAATATTTATTAATCATCTTTAAGCTCAATTATCTATACCAGGGCAGGAGGATAGAGGCTGGTGAACAAAGTGTGAATCTGGCATGGGCCGTGTTCTTAAGGAGCTTTTGCCTTAAGTGGGAGACAAGGCCCAGATATCCCCAGTGCTCCTGTGCTCATAGCATGTGGTCCGCTCCTCTGTTTTTCTTTTTTTGTTGTTTTGTTGTTGCTGTTGTTGTTAATCCTCACTCAAGGATATTTTTTTCATTGATTTTTTAAAGAGAATGGAAGGGAGGGGGAGAGACAGACAGACATCAAAGTGAGACACTTCCATTGGTTGCCTCCTGTACACACCCCGACATGCACTGTGAATCGAGCCTTCAACCAAAGTACCCTTGACTGGAATCAAACCTGCGACCCTTCAGTCCACAGGCTGACGCTCTAACCACTGAACAAAACCAGCCATGGCTGCTCCCCTATTTTTCAAAGTGACAAGCACAGATCTATTCAAATAAAGGAGGTGTTTCATCCTACCTGACAAACCATACATTTTGGTAATGAGTGGCAAAAGGAAAAGTGAGACAAATTCTAGGATTTAATAAAAAATTGAGAAGTCCATTTAGCTTTAAAGGACATTCTCAATATACCGTTGAAAATGATAAGTGCTGCAAGAGAGATACAGACCGATAAAGTATTCCTGGGATTCAGAGAATGGAACTTCCACGTTTTAGAATGAAGGTGTTACAGTAAAAATTTCCACCATTGTCCAGTTTCAGTTTTTGCTGTTTAACATGGTAACTAACCCTTTTCCCTCCATTCTCCCCACACAGGTTATCTTGTTCCTGATCATGTTGTTTATGCGCAAACGCATTGCTCTCACTATCGCCTTGTTCCACGTGGCGGGCAAGGTCTTCATTCACTTGCCACTGCTAGTCTTCCAACCCTTTTGGACTTTCTTTGCCCTTGTCCTGTTTTGGGCGTACTGGATCATGACACTTCTTTTTCTTGGCACTACTGGTAAGAAGACATTTGCTTCTTTCTCTTAGGGATGAATCTGATTCGCATTAACGTATTTAAAACATCAAAGAGATATAAGTCTTCAGACATTGATTGATTAAGTTCTAATAGCCATCGGAACTAGCAGGGGCTATGATTCTTCAGTAACCCATTTTCTAATCATGAGCTTTATCATCCTAGCAAAGTGGGTGTCAACCAGGTAAGGCCTGTAATTGCATCCTGGTTTTGAGATGGTCATGGATTTGAAGTAAACTCCTTTAGTCCCTCAGACATTTAGATCCATTCTCAGATGAAAGAATGAATGTAATGCCACTGTGGAATTGCTTTAAAACTCAGTTAGAGCTAAAGCTCAACTTGCTTCCTTGGGATTTTCTAGTTTGGAAATGATCAGAACCTAGCGAAAGCTCCTAGCGATGATTCAGTTCATAGACTCTCAGATTTGCTTGTAGCCATACTTTACATCAAAGGCTACATCTAAATGGAATTCATTGTGAGGAGCAGTGTAAGGTTAGCACACTTGTATGTAATTTCTCTGACCTTTCAGCACACATTCGCCAATTGAATAGAATATGAATTTCTGTACCTTGCTAAGAATTTAGGTCTGTCATTATTAGACAAGTAATAGCTCTGAAAAAAAATTTAAGAGCTATTTGCAAATTCATGCTTAAACTAAGTAACTGATAATGTAGTAAGAACTATACTCAAACAGAACAAATTTTAAAAGCTGTATATCTATATCATGGCTTTGGAGAAAACATAATGTTTAACTGGGTAATATTTGGCTTCACAACTTTTCAACTGATAATTATTTTTGTCCCTTAATGAGATAGCACTGTGATTATAAGTTTGTGGTTTGAGTGTAGGAACCTGTTCTTGGAAAGTAAATCAGTCTCTTAAATTAAATAGCCAGATTTGTGGTTTCGACGTTATGTGATTCTTCTTCCCTTCCTTGCTTTGCCCAGGCAGCGCTGTGAAGAACGACCAAGGCTTTGTGGAGTTCAGGGTCTCGGGGCCTCTGCAGTACATGTGGTGGTACCATGTGGTGGGCCTGATTTGGATCAGTGAATTCATTCTGGCCTGTCAGCAGATGACTGTGGCAGGAGCGGTGGTGACATACTATTTTACCAGGTGAGAATTCATACGTGTCCAACAACTTAAGATCAGCTAAGCAATTGTGCCTGAAGGGACTGGAACTGAAGCTTGTCAGAATGTCATTTCTTTAAGAAGTGGTTGGAAGTGAACATGACAAAATGTGATAGTTGATCTGTCTGGGAGGTAAGAAAACAAGTGGTTGCTATTTTATTCTTTGCACTTTTCTAAAACTTTCTAAAAAATGAATCAGAACTGCAGGCCCTGATATAACAGAAATTATATTTAACAGAAGAATGAATCCTGTGGTGTAGTGCCTTATGTACTTGGGCTTTATATGAAAGTCCATCAAAGGAAAACAAGCCTCTTTAATTTGTTTGGATCAGAGCAATTGTGTGGCTCCCTTTCCTGACTTCAGAGCTGAATACCCGTTGTAGGCCTATTGTTTCTGTTGTAATGAGGTGCCAGGTTCAGGTTGAACATCTTTTTAAGTTCCATTTTCTGATTGTACAATTAATGTCATAAGTATTTACTACCAAGAGCTTTCAAAGCACAGTTGTATTTAACTTAAAATATTAGAGCTTAAGAACCCCATGACACTACTGTAGAGAAATGACACATTAATTTTATATGGTACATGTGTAGCATTTATATTAGTTGTACTATATTACTTTGACATTTTTGTCATAAAGCTACAGTAAGAAAAATGAACCAGTTTTTCACTCCAAACATTCCTGTGTTTCCCTCCTGGCCTAGGCTCTGTTTTAATTGTCTTTTTGGTCATTTTAAAAATAGGGATAAAAGGAATTTGCCGTTTACACCTATTTTGGCATCAGTGAATCGTCTTGTCCGTTATCACCTTGGTACTGTGGCCAAAGGATCTTTCATCATCACATTAGTCAAGATTCCACGAATGATCCTTATGTACATTCACAGTCAGCTGAAAGGAAAGGTAAGGGGGAAATACGTTTCTGGACTTTCCATGGGCATATTCCAGACCTCACTCCTGCACCCAGTGACGTCATGTCCAAAGCTGCCATTGTTTTCTTCAGATTCCTGACAAAGTGGAACCCAGCTCTTCCTCCCTCGCCCCCGCCCCCGCCCCCCTTGCACTCCATATGCTCAAGCAAAATCCATCACAGCACTGGTTTCCAAAAGTGTCCCTTCCTCCGTGTCAACTCACCACCTTCCTCTTTAGAACCTCTTCCCTCTCCTCAATAGTGGAAATAATATGCATATCGACATGGCTTAGCTCAAATAACACCTCTTCCGAGAAACCTCCCCTGATTCCTCCCGTCTCGCAAATGTCTCTCTCTCAGTTCTCCACTCTCATAGCACTAGTACCTATGTCAGATTTTGATTCTAATCTTTTTGTGTGTTTAGCATTTTTTTTCCTCCTCCTAGATTGTAAGTTCCTTGCTGGTCTTCTATACCTCACTATATCTTATATGCAATAGGTACTAAACAAATGTTGAACTGATTAAAAAAAATTTAGTCAGTACATTTTAAGTGGAAAGGGGGGTGGGTATGGAAGCTTGGAAGCATAGTTTGTGCTTTTAAAATTTCTTGTTTTTCTAACATTTGGAGTATTCTTGATGATGGTGTAATTCTTTAACTTTTCAACAATTATTTCAACTTTTCCTCCTTTCCAGGAAAATGCCTGTGCTCGATGTATGTTGAAATCTTGCATTTGTTGCCTTTGGTGTCTTGAAAAGTGCCTCAATTATTTAAATCAGGTAAAATGTTTTAAAAATAATTCTAAGATTCGCTTTCAAAGATAGGTTTGTCTTTCCTTCTTCCAAGATAAAAGGATCGAGCTTACTTGAAAGGTGTTGGTTTTCTCATGGTGTTGTAAATTGTGCCTTGATCAAGTATCTCTATTTCAATCATATTCTTATTTTTATTTATTTTTTAAATATATTTTATTGATTTTTTACAGAGAGGATGTGCCTGCAACCAAGGTACATGCCCTTGACCAGAATCGAACCTGGGACCTTTCAGTACGCAGGCCGACGCTCTATCCACTGAGCCAAACTGGTTAGGGCCATATTCTTATTTTTAAAAGTAGCAAACGCACTTACCAAGGCTCATTATTAATTGTGATACATGGATAAAATATTAGGATTCCTATCTTGGGAAAGACATTTATTTCTTATGCATCTTTTTATCTTTGACTTTCCCTAAGAATTTGTCTACTCTAGCCATGGTTCTTTAATTCTTTAAAAAAACAGAACTCTGAGTGGGCCAGAGCAAATAGGTCTTTAGGACACACAATGTCAGTTGTCCATGGGCCACCAGTTTGTTGCCTCTGCTTTAAAGAATTTAGGGGATAATAGTAAAGAAGAGTGTTGATATGGAGGGAGAGTAGGCCGGAGTCATTTTGCAGCACAATAGGAGATTCCTAATCCCTAATCCATGCTCCACTGCCACACCGCAGGGGAAATACAGTTGGCTTCAAAAAAGAGCTTTACGTATTTTAAATGACCCATTTAGTATTTGCAGCAGAGGTGTGAGTTTTACAAATAAACAGTGAACTGTGAGCCAGCCACTCTTTGTTTTTGTTGGTGCTTATCTTAGTGGGACATGAAGGTGATTATACATCTAACCTGACAGGTAGGATTCACTTTAGGTAGAGAGATTGTTACACCCAGGATCTGTTTCTCTTAGGCATTGGATTACTCAGGCCTTGGTTTATCTGGCACCGTTTGAAGGTAGTACATTTCACACTGGAGAGCGTCTGCTCTCTGGCTCATAAGCTCTTCAGATGATAAAGCTGTTCTCGATATGGTATGAGTGGAAGTTGAGAACATTTTTGAGCACCACTAGCTGATACCATACTAAGCACTTTATGTATATTATCACTTTCCACAACTCCGTAAGGAAGGCTCCTTTCCCCTGTTTTTCAGATGACAAAATTGAGACTGGGCATCTCATGACAAATAATCACATAAGCTAGAGGTGGAGGAAGTTTTCAAATCTAAGTTCACTCAGCTCTTCCCTTAATATTACACTGCCTCTTGTATAAATATATACACGTTTTGTGCAATATAAAGAACACTAAATTATAGTTTATTATAGAGAATAAGTAAACATCTCACATTTTTATGTATCATGCTGTAAGCTAAGACAAGTGGTTTTAAAGCCAATCTATTTTAAGTAATACTTGCAACATCAGCTTAATTCTGGTGACCCCTAAAAAGTCTAAAAACTTACAACCCAACTGAATGAAATCTATGGTTTAAGTTTGACTTTGTGCCCCTTTCATCCCTCACTCTAAATAAGAAAGGGATCATTTTAATGGCCTTTTCCCTTATTTCATTTATAATGATCCACACATAGAGGTGCACACATCCTGTTTATCTTTTCCTACCATTGCCGACTAGCCTGCCCTTATCACGTGTTATTATGTAAGATTTTAAACTTTAAGAGAGTTTCTAGATAATTAAGTGAAGAAAAGAAAGAAGGTGTGAGACTGTGGAAGCTGTGCTCTGGGACAGATGGCCACACAGGTCTGAGTTACCTGCATGGTGACCTCTGTCCTAACATATTCCTTCCACATGGTCACTACTTCCACTGTATCCTGTCACACAGGAATGCTACCAGTGACCACGTGGGCTAATAGGCATCCTTGTAGAAAGATCCCTGGAGGGTGATCAGCTTTTACCTTGCACTGGGAGTTAATGAATTTGAGGCCTCTGTCCTGCCTGAGCAGAGGTTGGGCAGGAGAGAAATGTTATTCAGTGATGCCCTTCTGTGCGGTATAGCCCAGATCAGGAGGGGAAGTTGCAAAGGACTCTGGGTTTCTTGAGAGCCTTTGCACGACTCCTTTTAGACTAGAAGGTGCAGAAGCAGAGAGAAGTGTTACTGACCTGCTGTGGTCAGTAGCACATTTTTCTTTCTGAAGAGATCATCTTGACTTGTGTGGATCACATGCAGCTCATCTAACTGCCTTGGCAGTGGGAGGAAGCTCATAAAATATCCCCTCAGGTTGCAGGCACAGATCTATAGGAATATTGCCAGGAATTGTCTATGAGCCCATCCAACCCTGGAGTTGAGAAGTAAAGAAATGAAATCGCTGCCTCCTTCCACGTCTACAAATAGAAGGGCTTCTGCTCTAAATAAAAGTAGATGGGATGGGTGGGGCAGCGTCAGGAGAGAAGAAAGAAGCAGCAGAGGCGAAATAATAAAAGTTCTCAAGTAAACTGACGCTCCTGAACACCAAGGAGGGCAACGGGAAAGCTTTTATAGTTTACGTTGGAGGTGTTGGGCCTGCTCCTGGAGGCAGCTGGTCTGGTGATGACAGGAGAGATTCTGCAGGTGGTGGCTCCTCTCTTGCTTCTGTCTCCTTTCAAGGAAAGTCGTGCTCCAACCGCAGCAGGGAGAACCGCATAATTAAGAGAGTTGTCTTTCCTTGAGGGGGTGGGATTTAAGACAGTAAGTAGTGAATTTAAATGGATTGTTCTGTGACCTTGATTCTAGACATTATAATGCTTTTTATACTTCAGGAAGCATCTCATAATCTATATATTTAATGTGATCTAGGGGATTTTCCTCTGAAAAACTATTAAATACAGTTGACCTCGCATATCTGTGTGTTCCATATCCACAGGTTTCACACCTGCATATTTAACCAGGCATGGATGGAAAACCTTGGGAGGGGGGGGTGGGAGGGTGTTATGGTGTTGCTGACCTGACCTGTACTATGTGGTTAGTCCTGTGGTGGCTGCATCTGTACTGAACATGTACAGACTTTTTTTTTTCTTGTCACTATTTCCTAATCAATACAGTAAAATAGCTCTTTACATAGCACTTACATTGTATTAGGTATTATAAGTAATCTAGAGATGATTTAAAGTATATAGGAGGATGTGTGCATAGGCTATATGCAAATACTAAGGGACTTGAGCCTGGTCGGAATTTGGTGTCATTGGCTATCCTGGAACCAGAACCCCTGCAGATATCGAGGGACGACTAAAACTGGTTTGTTGGTCTCTTGGAGTAAATATTTTTGGCGTCGTGGACCATGTAGTCTCTCACAGTTGCTCAGTTCTGCCATTGTGGCATGAAAACAGCCATAATAAAGAGGAAAAAAAATGAGCATGGCTATGTTTCAATAAAACGTTATTTATAAAGTAGGCAGCAGGCAAGATTTGGCCCACACGCAGTCATTAGAGGACCCCTGCTTTAGAATAAATTGCTATGTGGGTGTGCTTTTTAGTGAGGACATAGGGAACTGGTGAGAACTGAGAGCTAGTTTGGCTTTTTTGAGAATTGTTCAGACGAAGGCAGTTCTCCATGGTTTTTCAGCAAAGTTACTATTGCACAAGATCAAACGTATGGTTATTTTGATGTCATGGAGGCATTTGATAGAATGTTTCAAAAGGAGCTTTGTAAAAATGAAGAAATGTGGGCCACTGCAGTTAGGTAATTAACTCTTTGGTGCCTGCTATCTCTTCACGGATAAGAAAAACAGTGAGATAACAATAGAAGAGAGTAAGCAGCAAATGAATGCTGAGAAAAACTAAACAATGATTTCTTTAACATACCGTATATATTAGCTTTTGAGACAAAAAGACCTGCGAACGTAATATGGTCATATATTCTGAGAAGAAATTACCCCAATCTGTGTGGTGGAATTTCATAAGTTAAAATCATACTGTGTTTCTCAAAAAAGCATGGTAATTTCCTATTGCTCCATTTCTGAAAAAAGTATCTGAACGTTAAGTAGCCTCTACGCTGTCCAGTACTCTTTCCTTGGCCCTCAACTGCTCTGCATTTTTAATCAGTGAATCTAATCATATAATGGCAAATTAAATTTTTGATGAGTCAAACCTCACCTCCATACCAGGTTCCTACTCACTAACAGGCATTCAGTGCTCAGTGTTGAACCTTGATAGACAGCACAGTGTAGAGCAAGCATGTCACATTCACAGGCTAACACGGGCCAAGTAAACGAGGCATGCGGCCCACGGGCCACAAGTTGGGCGTGCTTGGTGTAGTCAGCCCTTCCTGCCGTCTCCCAGCCACTTGAACATTTGGGACCCACCAGTGATTTCTTGAGTTGGCACTAAACCAACAATTCCTCAGGACCAAACATTTTCGTCACAAAATTCATATACTTTCCTAAGGCTCAGACATATTTGATGTTCTAGTACTTATTCACATTTCCAGAAAATGTCAATGCTCTTCTAAAATGTAAAAAAGAAGGGAGGCAATCAGTCCGTGACTAGTGGGTCAAAGAGGACACGGGGCAGCAGATGCAGGTATAATTGAATAAAACTATGTCATCTGGGACTCAGTGCTACAAGGGCCAGAAAGCCAGCTCAGTCTGACCTAAAAAAGAGAGAGAGAGTGAGAAAGGGGGAGGGAGTGGCAGGAGAGGGTAGAGATTCTTAACAATGTATGAGCTTCCGCAACTTCATGAAAAGCCCAGAAATCTGGCTAGTTCCTAATGATGTCAAATATTGTCACCAAGTGCAGGGACCTGATTTCCCTCTGCTCTGACTTCCGTGGTGTTCGCCTCACCCTCAGTTTCACACTGTGACCTCCAGCAGCTCTAGGCTCTTCCCATTATGTTGGCAAAACATCCATGGCAATTCGTACCCTCGGAGCTCCTCATCCAGGAAAAGAGAGAGAGCTGCTCTGTAGGGATCACCTGTGGATGAAGAAGGAAACTTCTTTCTCCCAGAAGCCCCAGGGGATGTCATTTACTTCCAGGGGCCCTGGTTCGTTTATATGCCAGTTTCTGAACCCATCCTTGCCCATCGCCACTGCTGAAGGTGGTGTCAGCTCCACTCAGATGCTAAGACAGTGGGGAAGAGCTGTTTACTCAAATGAGAGAGCAGGCCCCGCTCCCAGATTGGAGGGGTATAGAATAGTGGGCAGCAAACAGCGATCGCTATAAGAGCTGTGAGAAGTGACAGCAGAGGAGGAAGCACCAAGGAGGAGGTGGTAGGCGTTCCAGGTTAGAGAGCACCACAATCTGAAGCCTTTACAATTTGTGTAGCTTCCAAAGCATCACTGAAATGGTACTAATGCATCATGGGTATTCACAGTGACAGACCTGAGACATCTCGGCAAGGTTAAATTCTGTTTGATTTACTCAGACAAGGGAGAAGTTTATGGACATGGGAAAGGTAGTCTGTGTTTTCATAAATTTCAGTGTTTTTAAAGGACCCAAACTAAATCTACTGAAAAGTTCTTTTTACCATATCAGGCTTTTTTTTTAATATCTCATATTTTCTTGTGCTTCAGAATCTTACTCTTATACCTCACCAGAGCCATGGGTTTAATAGTGAAATATTGTTACAAGCTATGTTTAATTATATCTTAACAAAGTAGGATTATATTTATTGATGAGAATATTGTTTTTGCTTCTGCCCAGAATGCATACACAGCCACAGCTATCAACAGCACCAACTTCTGCACCTCTGCGAAGGACGCCTTTGTCATCCTCGTGGAGAATGCTTTGCGAGTGGCTGCCATCAACACAGTGGGGGATTTCATGTTATTCCTCGGCAAGGTAAGAGCAAGCATATTACTGGAGATGTACATTAAATTTTTGCATATAAATATGTATATATATTTGCTCTAATTTCAAAAAACATCTGCCCACCAAAAGAAAATTAAAAGTAACTTAATATAGTAGTATAGCAAGCACATACAAACTCCTTAATATGTGCTAGGCACCTTTCTAAGTACTTTGTATATGTATTGTGCTCATTTAATCCTCACAACAGATTTGTAAAGGAAGATCCATTGGGATTATCATTTTATAGGTGGGGAAACTGAGGCCCGGGGTGGTTAAATGTAACTTGTCTATGTTTTTGCTTAAATGTTTTGAAGTATTAAGTAACAGTCTGTGTAGTCGTTCGGGGTACTGCGTCTGGAGCTTGACTGCCTGGATTTAAATTCTGCCTCTTTTACTTACTAGCTGTAGTACTGGTGGTACATAACCACTCTGTGCCTCAGTTTGCTCATTTATAAATTTGGGATAATAATAATAATAAAGCCAAAACCTTAGGGTTGTGAGGATTAAATTGGTTAGTACCTAAGACATTGCTTGACATATAAGTTCTCAATAAATGTTAGCTGTCATCATTACTATACCATATGTAAACCCCTTTAAAATAGTTATATGTCTAGCCTTTGCTAATATACACATTAAACAGGAAAGTATAAAAGAAACTATAAATACATGACAAATACAACTAGCAGTCCCAGGTGATTCTCTTGAAGAAGAGACAGAAGAACTTCGCTGGAGAGAACATGGCAAAAGATCCTGGACAGAACCTGGCTACAGAACTTGGTTGGAGAACCTAGACAGAACCTGGCTGAAGAACCCGGCTACAGAACCTAGCAACCGAACCTGGCTGGAGAACCTAAACCGAACCTGGCTGGAGAACCTAGCGAGAGAACATGGCTACAGAACCTGGCTGGAGAACGTGGCTGGAGAACCTAGCAAGAGAACATGGACACAGAACTTGGCTGGAGATTGTGGCTAGAGATCCTGGCAAGGCTGCTGATCAACTGAACACTGTCTCCGTGTCATTCCTTCTTCGCTGACTCCGTCCACACCTTTGGGGACCCCTGGACCTGCTGGGGCTGGACCCCAGAACTTCGCTAGAGATCCAGGCCAGAACTTGGCTGGAGATCCTGGCAAGGCTGCTGATCAACTGAACGCTGTCTACATGTCATTCCTTCTTCGCCGACTCCGTCCACACCTTTGGGGACCCCTGGACCCGCTGGGGTTGGACCCCAGCACTGAGCCACCTGGCCAGGATATGGGGCACTTTTAAAAAGCATTTTGCTGCACTTAGATCCAACCTATCAGACTTGGGGATGTATCAACTCTACAAGTGATTTCTAGTTGCCTCTAATAGTTGGAAACCCCTGTGTTCTCTACTTGAATAAATGCGTGACACCCTTCCATTATATTTGGGAATAATTAGTACATCCTTTGACTTCTTTGCCTAAATATTAATAATTCTCGAAGGTTTTTCTCTCATGACAATATCCACCTTCCACCTCAACAGCTTTTTCTCTCAACATCTAAGTTTGTCTGAGCCCCATCTTCTACCTATAACTAACTTAACAGTGCGAATGTGGTTTACCTTTTAGTGGCATAATGAGACCACAAAGAATCTCAGTCTTTCTATAGGGTGGACATAAAAAGTTTGAATAAGAGTATAAGAAAGAACTCATTCTAAAATTGAAACCAAAAGAGTGGAAAGTGAATGTGATTAGCTCTCTGTGGAAATCACCTCAGAAAAGTTACAGAGAAGAGTCATAAGAGTTGGCCACAAAAATGGAGTGTGTGTGTGTGTGTGTGTGTGTGTTGGGAGTTGTTTCCCAAATCTTGGACAGACCCAGATTTGCTCCCTAAAGTCATCTGATAGAAGGATCTCTTTACAGCTTAACCAGTATGTTATCCAATGCATTATAACTCCTGGTTAAGTTCGTGGTGAATGAAAGATGCTTTGTTGTTGATAAATAGTAAAGAAGAGATGAAAGAGGAATTCTCAGCCTGACTGTCCTCAGCACTGGACAAGGGAAGGCCATGGTAGTTCTGGAGGATTCTTCCTTTGTTAAGGCTTAATGCCAGGCCAGTAAAGGGCAAGCATGTGTGTGAGATTGAAAATAACCTATTCCTGCTTTGTATCAGTACCACGCATTTTCAGTTACCTGGAAAGAGCCCTGAAGTTGGCATCATAAGACCATTATTGGAGTGGTATCTGCTGACCTTCGGTGGGTTGGCCAGCATGTTTCTTAGTCTATAAAATGAGATGATAATGTTTTCCATAAACCATTCATAAAAAATGTAAAGTGTTGAGTATGAGGTAATGAGGCATCAGAGTAGGTGGTTCTTGACAAGAATCAAATTGGTTATTTCCTTTATTCTCATGGATGTTTTTAGCAACCCTTTTTCTCACAGATAATTGAAAGATAAACTTCATGGCAAATATTAAATTTGCCCCATATTCTATTTGAAATAAAATATGAAATAATGAAAAGGCTCTTAGTGATGTTTGTTGCAGCATTATTTATATCTGCCAACAATATACATGACCAACTGTAGGAGAATGGTTAAATAAATGTTATTTTTTTGTTGTTAAATAAATTTTAAATAACCCATAAAATGAAATTATGTAGCTGAATAAGTATTTATGAATATTCATAATGCTACTATAAATATTAAGGAAGAGCTTTTAATGATTTGTTTATACAATACTATTTCATAAATGTAAAAATGCTTAGAAAAAAATCTGTAGCAATACCGTGAAATGTCGGTAATTTTCTTCTTCTGAGTGCTAAGAATGTGCATAATTTTTCCCCCTAAAAAAGGCATACATTTATCTTAAGAATTGCCACAGGTGCCAAATAAGGGAAGCTTTAGAAAACAAGCATAACATTTGGAAAACTTGATTATTTTTAATGTCAACAAGGATGGTTCGTTAAATTTATATTATATTATATACATGTATACCTCTGTGTGTATATGGTACATAGGGGTTATACTTTCTAATTTCAGATGGAAAGGACTCATGTGACCATCACATATAAGTAGTAAAGAGAATTTTACATCTGCCAACGATGACGAAATAGCGGTTTCTACCTCAGGGTATTACATATGGTCTTTGTTCTCTCTGCCTCAGGTGCTGATAGTCTGCAGCACGGGCTTGGCTGGGATTATGCTGCTCAACTACCAGCAAGATTACACAGTCTGGGTGCTGCCTCTGATCATCGTCTGCCTCTTTGCTTTCCTAGTCGCTCATTGCTTCCTGTCCATTTATGAAATGGTAGTGGATGTGTTATTCTTGTGTTTTGCCATTGATACAAAATACAATGATGGGAGCCCTGGCAGAGAATTCTATATGGATAAAGTACTGATGGTAAGTACTTCCAATGGCCTCTACTGCTTTAGGGATGACAAGACTAATAAAATTACACCTGTAACACTGGTGCCTGCGGTTGGTCTTGGGGGAGCCAGGGAAGAAGGCCCCCTTGGCGTGGATGAGACCATTTAAGATCCACTTAGCTAGAGCAGTACCCATTAATGGGCCTGAGTCCGCACTATTCCATTCTGCTGCCCCGCTCTCTGCAGTTAGACAGATTTGAATTGACTTTTAAACCTGACTTTTAGCCCTTGAATTAGAATTAAAACATTGGACCATGTTCTAAGTGCACTTTCCTGTGGGGTGGGGCTCAAAGACAAAAAGTCTTAGTTCCCAGGTTGTAGTTAGTAACTCCCTGTATTTCTCTATCTACCACTTTTCCAAGTATGATTGCTGTCTACTCCATTAAAACTCGTTATCCTAAGTATGCCAGGCCAAATGAAAGGCATTTTGTAATGAATATAGATGAATAGACCCATGACTGGTAGATTGTCTTGTTTTATATTATTCAGGATCCGAACCTTTACACAGGTACATTTAGATTCTTTATAGTTATGTTGCCTCTGCAGCTTCCCTATATTAGAACCTCAATGAAACCTTTTTTTAAATTTAGAAATTATGTTAAATGGTTTAAATACTAGATACTACAAAATTAAAGGTGCTTTTTCTTTTTTCATTTACCTGAGAATATATTTATTGATGTTTAGAGAGAGGAAAAGTGAGAGAGAAACATCAATTGGTTGACCCCCCCCCCCCCCCATAACCCCAACTGGGATCGAACCCACATCCTAGGAATGTGCCGTGACCGGGAATCAAACCCGCAACCCTTTTGGTGTATGGGACAACACCCAACCAACTGAGCCATCTGGCCAGGACTTAAAGATGTTTTTTAATAATACCACCTCGCTATTAAGCTGTGAAATATTCCTGTCTTAAGAGTGGATAATATTGAAAACTATGTCAATGTTAGGTATTGAAAATAAAAGCCATCTTCCAGGAGAATGGACTTAAATCTATTTATTTAAAATAAATGTGTTAATAAATAAACTAGATTTTTTAAAATATATTTTTATTGATTTTTTACAGAGAGGAAGGGAGAGAGATAGAGAGTTAGAAACATCGATGAGAGAGAAACATCGATCAGCCGCCTCCTGCACACTCCCCACTGGGGATGTGCCCACAACCCAGGTACATGCCCCTGACCGGAATCGAACCCGGGACCTTTCAGTCCGCAGGCCGACACTCTATCCACTGAGCCAAACCGGTTTCGGCACTAGATTTTTTTTTTAATTGCAAAATTATCCAATGAGTTAACTGACCTATTTGGTACTGATTATCTCTTTTACCAAGCACATCATCAACTAAATTTTGGACATTTTCAAAGTGGAATTTGGCCCATGATAATTGCATCTCTTTTGTGATTATAGCATTTAGGAGAAATGTTTATTTTTGTTTTTCAGCCACTGATTAATGCAGAGCAAAAAAAGACTGCAGCTCTGATGTCTGCTGCTATTATTGATGGCTATGGTTTTAGGGCCTCCATTGACCAGTATTGAGTCAAAAATGTAAATGTTCTTTAGAATGTGAAAGGACCTAAGAATTTTGCCATTTGGTCCCTATTTTGCAGGAGTTTGTGGAAAACAGTAGGAAAGCAATGAAGGAAGCTGGGAAGGGAGGCGCTGCTGATGCCAGAGAGCTGAAACCGATGGTAGGTGGAGATGAGGAGGTGGCCGCCCTCCCCGAGTTTCACTTTCACTTCCTCTCTCTCTCTGTCTTCACCGACTGCGCCTCCTCGGGAGAAGCGTTTGCTGTCTGTATCACACAGGACATGCTGCTCTTTCTGTTTGTGTGTCTGCCCATCACTTGGATGGCAGAATTCTTGTCACGCCTGAGACTGCCTTCTGTAAAAGTAAGCTGAAAGGAACACGGCATTGTCACAATGAAGAGTGGTCGTGGCAGGGTAGAGCATAGTTTTGTCTCTAAGGTGAAATTGCTGTTTCTGGTGTGTGTTTTTTTTTATTTCCTTTGTAACTGTCAGTGGTTAGTTTTCATTGGACTGAACATTTGGTTGTGCACTCACACTGACGGCTTGAGTTCTGTCATTTTGGAAGGTGATAAGAGCAGTTCCTTTCAACTTGCTAAAATCCATACTCCCCCATTTTTTAATATTGGTTTCTGTCTTTTCCCCTTGGCTGACTTTTTCTTCTGTTGCCTGGATTGTACTTTCCTTATTTCTAAAGTTATTTTTAAGTAGCAAACAAGTCTCTTTTCATCAACAACCGCATTTTCCACTCAGTAAGACAACCTGGTCTTCTCCAAACCTCAGCTCAATTGTGGGAAGGATAAGTTACCTCTCTGGTCAGTGATACAGACATTCTACTATCATTTCGGGGGGAGTGGGGAAAAGTACTTTAAAGTTAATCATTGTAAGTAGACTCCTAAGCTGATAGATGTTCTCACTGCTGCATAACAACAGATGTCTCTAGCATATATTGGTCTAATTGCTACATATTTTACAAATGTGTAGTTCTTAAATAGCATGTTTATTTCAAATATTATATAATTGCCTTAATTAATTTTAAATAATCTGCCTTCTAATTGCATATAGTATCCAAAAATGTGAGGTAAAGTCTCTCTTTTCTTCTTTATACTTTAATAAATGAATTGATTCATAGTTTTCCAATGTAAGAACTATGTGATATAAAACAAGCCCATTTAAATATCTAAGAGTAAAGGAAGTGGGTTCATTTAAGGGGAGTGGAGGAAGCTATATATATATGTATCTATATGTATATATATGTATATATGGAAAATAATCACATATTCAATCTAAATAAAAGTCTCAGCAGAATATTTACATATAAATGCTTTTCTCTGAACCCCTTCCAGTACCTATTTTGATATGTTCTTAATAGCTTTGATGGTTATGAAGCAAAATTTCAATGTTTAGACTCCCAAGGCACAGATCACTCTGATCATAAGTAAAAGGATGTAGCCAGTGGTTATATAGCTCTTACTTTAAAGTGTGCATTAGCCGGAACTGGATTGAGTTGGCAAGAGACGCCAACCAGCAATCCCGCCAGTCAGGTGCCTTGCCTCCCTAGCCCTTCTCCCTGTGCCCCTCTGACTTCACGCAGGCCTAGGGGGAGCGCAGTGAAGATTGTGCCAGCCCTATGGTGGCATGGAAAAGTGAGGAAGACTTCTTTCTTACCACTGCTTGGCTGTCCTAATTACTCAGGAAATAAGGTTCCAAGCCTAAGACTTAAAAAAGGTGTAGAAAATCTTAAAATGTAAACCACCCCCCCCCATTCTGTCTTCCCAGTGGTTGAAGTTTCCATTCAATTATTGTGCAGTGATAAGCATTTAAAGAAAGGGAGAAATATTTGGAGGTTTGGGACTAGCTAGATTGACCATGTAATTGATTGGCATGTAGTTCCGTATTCTTGAGGGAAAGATAGAAGGATTGTGGTAGACCAGAATGCAAGTTTACCTAAACCCCTTATTCATAATTAATAATACTAGGTTATGTGGCCTTCTACCAGAAGCCAAAAATTGAGAAATGTTTTCCCCCTATAATTGCTTTCAGTTTTAAATTAATGACACTTAACTCAAAATGCATTCAAATCTTCATTCACGTTTTGCTTTTATTTTGTTGTTGTTCCTCAGTTCATTGCTTGCAATTAATGGCAAGTCCCCAAATACATCTTTTATGTGCATTGTTCTTCTGGTGCTTTGAACATTATAGTATTTGGTCCCTAAGAATGATGGTTTAAGTGGCAAAAAAAACTCCTCAGGAGAGAAGTGTGAGATGGTGCTCACAGGGTCGTTAAAGTCTTTAAACCCATCAGTACCTCTCATTCTTATCTCTTTTCCACAGTTTGCATGGTAAGAGTGGACCCCCTACTACCACCACCATCTTGTATGTGTCCCTAAAGAACTAGTTGAGAAATTCCCCCCTGAAGTTTGAGGACTGGTAGAATTGAGTATACTTCTTTGTATTGGTTATTCCCTTAGATGAGAGTTCTTGAATGCTGGCATACCTAGTTCGTCATATTTGTAGAAACGCTACTGTTTGAGTTCACTGTCTACCTCCCTCCTTATGGGATATTTTAATTTAGGATTTATTTTTAGCCTATAAAATAATGTTAGGAAAAAATGAAGTTTAAAATTTTCCTTTTGACAGAGGGCTCATTAAACTGGATATATAAGTACTCCCAGTTTTCCTCTTGGACATTTTTTTTTTTGAAAGAGAGAGATCCTGCTAGTGAAGAAAACTTGGAAGGTTTGTGAGGCCTCTCTCTAAATCTTTGAAAATGATTTTAGGAAAATTTACCAAATGTGATATAGAGGTTTAAGCAAGAGACATCTGGTCATCTGCAGGAAAGCATCTACAGAGGAAAGAGAGAGAGAAAACCCTGGCGCTCTAGCAGTGTAGGCCAGAGAGGCTGCAGAGCTCGGAGAGGCTCCAGAACAGCAGTGTGGTTTCCAGTATGCAATCGCATCACAGCCCCTGGAATATAGGCTCAGGGGAGAAGGCTTCTCAGCTCCTTTTGCTTTGTTGCTGTTTGTGACCATCTATGCATTTGTAACATCGTTCATGATCTCCTTCTAACGGTAATTGTCTAAGATGATACTCTGTGTGACTTTGTTTTCTAGGCCTCGGGAGCAAGTTCCGCTTGAACCTAGCCGACCGTTACGGAACCCATTGACATTCCAAACCAATATATACACATAACTGTGTGTGTGTGTGTGTGGGTGTGCGTGTGTGTGTGTATATATGTATATGTATGTGTGTAAGTATATGTATATGTATACACACACACACATAATCAGCCAAAATCAGAGAAAAGGAACAGGGATTTAATACCTTTTTTATGCTTATTTTTGTCAAACATGTACTCCTTTCATACGGGTGGCTTTTACAAGGCAACTGCCGTCATTTAATGTTTTCAATTGTAATTGTCTTAATGGAAATGTTAAGATTCATATCTGATTCACATTTTTGATAACTTAGAGGAGATTTTAACTTTAGTTATTTCAATTAGGTAAAATTATTGTACCGAATTCTCTGTCTAAAGTTTATTCAGGGGTGATTTCCCTGACACATGCATAAAATCAAGATCTTATTTTCCTGATGAATAAATCCTAGTGGGACCAGACTAGGTGTATGCTTTCAGAGAAATAAGGAATTACTCCAGTTTTCCCCAATCAAAAAAAGCCATGTCATTTTACTTTGAGAAACACACAAGAGGACCCACTGTGGGAAGTTTCATAATCGCTCGTGCATTTGTCAGCCAACATTAAAAAGTAACCAACTCCTCAGGTATTTGTAGTTTACCCTAATGCTTCTAAAGGAGAGTAGGTAAAAAAGAAGACAGATGATCTTTCTTATGCAAATTTTTTCTTATGATTTGTCTTTCTTTTTTTTTTACTTTAATAGCATCTTTCACACATTTTGTGCCTGATTTGAGAGGAAGCTGGAGCACCCAGTGAGTTTATGTAGCCTCCAAATTTCTGTGTAGTGATTTGTAGATTAAGTAATGCTGGGAGGGATAATGAAGGGAGAGAAACACTGAACACAAAGCATTGGCCATTCCAGTGGTTTAGGGCTAAATAGGCATTTTATACAAATGCTATAAACTTGGAAAATGGAATGGAGGGTGCTCCTCTCCTTGGCAATCCATGAAGCATCCAGAATTCTACAATGTTTAACTGAAGAATTGGTTAATGTTCTGATCCTCAAGTGTTGAATGTTTTTGTTTGTTTGTTTGTTTGTTTGTTTGGGGCTGGGTTATGGGGTTTTGTTTGTTTGTTTGATTCTTCTATTCCTGAAGCTTACCAGATATGAATGGCTAATATTCCATTGTTCTGCTTATTGTAATGGTGAATGCTTTAAGAAAAAAAAAGTGTAATTTGCTAAGAATGATTCATGATCTGTTTATGCGATAACTCCTTTTTGTTACAATTTTTTTAAAAAAGGCTATTTTTGTTAATGTAAAGTAAATATTTCAGAGCAAATTTTTTAAACTTATTGCACTAAATACAGGCTCTGTACAGAAAAAGAAAAGCCTCAGCATTTTATCATTCCATGGAAGGAGAATCTTTTGAAAGAAAGCATTGTCTCCTACCAGAATTAGACAGTGAATTGGACCGGTATTATGGAAATGCATACAATTAATGTCAGTGGGGATTAATAAGCAACTGTTTGCTAATGTGCTTCCTTTCAAAGGGTTGGACCTTTAAATTGCTGCAAAAGGTAAATTTTATTTTTTTCTTTAAGTATCTGTATTCTTTAGGCTAAAACTTGCTAAAATGCCTTGGTTTCTTTTCAAAGCTCATGTAATATTTCTGATTTTTTCAGAATATTTGCAATAAGAATCAGAAATTTTATTAAAAAAAAGAAAACACACAGTTAGGAGCTCATGTTTTGGCAAGATCTGGGAAACCAACATGTGAGAGTCGCTATTTTAAACAATAATTCTCCAGAAGTTAACATCTAACATTGACAAACTGTATCATTGTACTATTTTATATCAGCAAAAAGGAATAAATATAATTATGTAACTAACAAAAAATTATCCAAATAGGTGAGAGAGCAAATCATCTAAGAAAATTCAGAATACCTTCTGTTTCATAGCCACACAGATTTGGGACATTAAGGGACATTGGGAGCTAAATTTATGATTGGCAAAAATCTGGAAGATGGGTATCAAAACAGAAGACATTCGAGGAGCTAGCTGTTTTAGGAGGTGTCCCTCCAGAGTGACCTGATGGAAGGCTTGAATTTGGAAATTGGGTTCTGCTCGCTCGGACATCCCAACATCACGGACCCTTGCTGCTCCCTGTTCCAAATGCTCGCAATCTCAACTATTTGGAAACCGCCAGGAATGCTTTCTAATTCTCTCTCGCAACTAGAACTGTAATCAGAAAGAAATTTTGTATTTTTGTATAACTCGATTGTGTGCCATTTTATATAACAGGTCCTGTTTTACAAATAAATTCTGTTTTACTAACATTGTGTTTAGAAACTATGATCTATGTGTAACCATGTCGTTTGAGTACCAAATTAATTGCCAGGCTGTTTCCCCTGAATAAGTTTGTGTGCTCCGTGGACAGATATATGCAGATATGCATATGTACTACACTGGCACACACAGAGAGAGATTTGATGTGTAGAATATCACTTTCATCAGAGCTTCATTCTTTGATTCATTCTATAAAGCCTCGCAGAGGCTTTTTTTACAAAAAAAAAAAAAGCAATAAGGAAATGTTTTGAGGTTATGTCTGGGTGTTCCTGCTGCTTCTTTCATCCATTGCAAGTCATCCCTCAGCGAGCTATAGGCTGGCTGCCTTGTTGCTCCATCCACTCACTGCCTCCATCTTCTGCCCAAGTGAGAAAAAATAGATGAAAAACAAAAATTACCTGTGAAATGGGGTTACCCGAACCATTTTATAGACCATTTGACTCGGTGTTGTGTGTTGGTTTTTTGTTTTGTTTTTGTCTTTTTCTGTGGTGGATCTTCACAATTGCTCTCCGGACTCATCGCTTAAGGTCCTCTTAACTGTCAGTGAGGATCCTGCTGGCCGAAGCATCTTTATCGTTTCTGCCACCAGATGATTAAGGGTCTGGTACACAATTTGGAGTTTCTAGGCTCCAGCCTCAAAAGTAAGCTCTGCTGTAATGTAATATGGAAGGGGGAAGGTTACATTTTTCTATAAGTGCAAGGGATCCATCTTCAATGGGAAGCTTACCAGTGCTTTCGGTAAACATTAGGAATGCAGGGCATTGAGATTGTATAATCCTTGCATGGATGAGCAGAGATCAAAGCAGGTCGTTGCTTGAAACCATTTAATGCAATGTTTAATGTTCGGGATTAAAGCTCTTATCCCATCCTATAGCATAATTAAGTCCTAAGTCACTGTAATTTAAGTAGCTTAGTAGGGTGCTGGTCCCCAAACCTTTTCCATATGGTTGAGGAGGAGGCACTCACTGAGTCTGTTTGAAAATCATGCTGGAAATACGTTTTTCCTGTGTAGAGAGGCTCCCATACTCATATAGTTTCTTTTTTCAGTGAAGGGCATTCATCTGCCAGTTTTCAATTCCACTGGCCTTGGTGTCTGCCAAGGGCTCCTTTGTCTTCCTAGGGCAGTTCCAGGCATAGCAAGGAGATGCCCCTTCCTTTATCCTGGTCCTGAGTTGCTTTTAACCAAAATGATGCTTCTCCCATCCCCTTCCTCAAAACGGCTGAGGGAACTGCAGGCACCCCATACCTGTGGGGCCACATCGCTGCCCCTGAGGCTGCAACCATTTCCGACATGCACCATACTAACTAATAAAGCCCATTTCAGATGCCCCCTCCACCTCACCCACCACCCATCTAGGAGTAGATTCTGGGATCAGTTCCAGTACCAGAGCTGCCAATTACGATGACCTGAGCATTATTTTAATTTTTGGTCAGTAGCCATCTCCTTTGAATTTTGGGAGTTTCCAATGGCCTTAACAGAGCCTTTGAGAAGTTACCGTCAGAAGGATCTTTATGCTTTCACTTCTCAGTGAGTTCTCTACTGCTTTCTGTGCTGCAACTTAAAAAAAGAAATCCTGAGTCTAGAGGCTTATCAATGCACCTGCCACCGTTAATTTCTGTATTTTTTTCATATATTCCATCTGACAGGAGTGCACTATAACAGCTTGCCTAGGGTAAAGATGTGGTCTGTGAATACACATTGGAAAATTGCGGGTTCCTAAGCAAATGCATAAAGCTGAGATTTGTGTATTATGTATTCCTAGCATAGAATGCCTTTGGCGTCAAGTGCATATTCGTGTGTCTTTGTGCACTATGGGTGCATGTCAGCCCTCTGAGAAGTAGGCCCTGTTCAGATACGGTGGCGGCCTTTGGAATTAGCTCATCTCTGTTTATTGGCATAGAGCCCGCATTTTGAAAAAGCGACCTTGAGTGTGCCAAGAGAAAAAATCTAAAGCTAACAGACATAAAAACAAAACAAAGAGCTAAACAGGTTGTGTACACGTATAAATTTAAAGAAGCGTACTTTCCCACATTCGAATTTTGTAAATTTGAACCGAATTCTTACTCTCTAAGAGGAAAGTTTTCATCTAAGATTTAAATCTCTGAAAATAGCTTTCTTATAAAAAATTTGGATGCCAAGTTTTTAAACTTGAGAACTTCTGTGGAAAATGTTTCTTCTCTGTCTAAAGTCTATAGTACTCCTCCTCCTCATCTCCTTGGTTTTTATGTGTAAAAACAGACCAACGATGCTCCTGTCTGAATATTGCATGATCAGTGATCACTTTTGTAAATTACACGGGCAGGATTTAACTTTGATATTTTATAAAGCAATTCATTACTAAATGTGTTGAAAAGATAAGAACTTGTTAGGGACCCAAATACGAGGCTACTTTATTCAGTTTTGATTCTTAGTTGTATAACTTAAATGATTTCCTGAGAAATAAACACTGCAGACTAGGGAGATCAGAATAGTACAGCTTCCAGGTGACCCATAGTCTAGTCAAGATCCAGCTGAACATGAAAATGTTGTCATTCCCAGATGTTTCAGAAATTTTTCACTTTCATGCTGAAACCTGAATTTCATATTTGATACTCAGAGGCAGGTTCCTAATCATTTGAGGGGACATGAGCCCCTTTGAGAAAGAAGCTTAGGAAAGCAACAGACTCTCTCTCTCAAATGCACATAGCCCATCTGTGAACATTTAAAATGCTACTAAGAATTTCAGGGCCCTCATACTGCCAGCCCCATCTCCCCTCCCCTCCCCTCGGGGCCTAGTGAGCACAAGTCAAAGGTTTCTCTAAAGTTGGTTCGATGATGTGTTCTGAGATGAGGTCATGATTATGCCTCCACTAAAGATATCTTTAAGATGGCACCCACCAACGTCTGATCTGCAATCGTTTTTATAGTCTTTGACTTAGTACTAACTTTGGAAATAGAAACTGAATGAATAACATGATGGTCAACACTGAATCTTCCAGACAGTAAGATTTCTTTCCTTGGAGATGTGAGGGTGTATATGTCTGGTGGGGAGGGTGGGTTTTTGGCAAGGTGCCACATTATTTGCAGTGGACAAGGAAATCCAAAAGAAATTAATAGGAAATCCTTGTAAGTTTCCATCTACCAAAACACTTGGTTTTTTTTTTCATTGTAGCTCAGATATGAAACAACATGTTGTTATCAGTAGATTGCTGTGTAAAAATACACCAGTCAGCATGGCTGAGAACAGTTAAAGTTGATACAGGAGCAAACTCAGTGTAGTCTAGCAGTTGACAGAGTTTTAGTGGAAAGTTGGAGGAGCAGATGCCAGGGGTAGAAATTCAGAAGTTGTCTTTCGCTCCGTAAATCACGGAGGTGTTCCCTGTTTTGACTTTTCAGTGACTAGAGCAGCCTTGGACCACTGCCAGTGGGACTGTCTCCCCTCCCCCATCATCCACTCTTCTTTCTGTGGGAACACATGGATTTCTTCGCATCTGTACCTCACTATTAGGAAAGGGTGCTGCATCTGCAGGGCCCCTGAAAGAGCTAGCAGAAATCCTTAAAGGACTTAGAAGTTCTTTTAAGATTTGGGTCATAACTTATAGTCAGGCATCAAACCTTACCTACATTTTCAAACTGAAGAAAGCGGAGGAAACCTCATAACTAACTGGCTGATGAAGGAGAGCATCAGCTCCCGACCCCCTCATCAGCCCCCAAAGAGCTTTGATAAACTGCCCACAGTAGCAAATGCAGGGACCACGCGTGGAAATTCCCACATCGGGTGGAAAAGGGCCTAAGTGCAGTGTAAGGACCTGCATCTGACATGTCCTTTTGTCATAGAAGTGTGTGATTTTAAAACAAGGTCCTGACCTTCTTATATGAATCTGATCCACCCATCAGTTAGGAAATTCTTTTGAGATAGTTATTTTTGGAGGAATATGTATTGAGCTATTCGATGTAAGGAAAAGGAAGCCTTGAATAGAAGAAGAAGAAATGGGAAAAGGTCTGGGGTGAAGCTACTGCCAGCGTCCTGCAGACCATTCTACCTGCCACAGGAATGAGACAGTCATAGGTCAGCTTTGAGACAGACTGTGAAGTCAATTTCCCCAGTATCTGTGCTCAGAACGTCCTGCTTGTTTTTGCTGGTTTTGGTTTTTCAGAGACATCACATGAGGAGAGTTACCTTTCTTCAACTCTATTGCCTTCGTTAAGGTTTTCTGATTTCTTCCCTCCTATGAAAGGGTACTGGAAGCTCCATACTTGAAAAGAACTTCCAATTATACTATCAAAACATACTTGACCCCTGACTGCCCTTTGAGTAGGCCCTGCATCCAATGAAGTAAGTTCAGTGGGTTGTTAGCTGATCTGATTACAGGAGTAAAAAACTTTGTAGCCAATAAGCAACAAGGTGGGATGGAAAGTGTGGAAGGCACCTAACAAAACGATAGGCGCTCGAGAAAAACAACCAAAGACAAAAGCATATTTTCCGAAGACCAAAGGTCCAACTTCAAGTATTTGCTGGCACAGCCTCTCCGAGCTCCTGGAGTTTAGAATAAGGCAGCCGTGCTTTAACGGTCAGTCAATGCAATAGTGACCTCTCAGGCTCTCAGCCTTCACATCCCGTGTCAGGCCCAGCCCAGCACATGGGATGATGTGAACAGCAAACACACATCAGTGTGTCTCCATCTCTCACTGCTGTGAATCCAGCATGAGAAGTATGTTGTGGTGCTGCATACTTCTCAGTCTGATGCCTTTTTGGGTCTCCCCTCCCCCACACCCCCATGTGCATCCTATTTCATGGTGTCAAAATGAATTTTGTATCACATCCTGTCTTAGTCCATTACGAACGGAAAGATCACAGTGAAGCCTTCCATGAACTCTGTAGTTCAGGATCTGTGACCTTGGCATTATTTAGAGTTTTTCCTTATTGCGGTGTATTCAAGTGGGGAAACTGACATGTAGGTGCTTGACATGCCCCACAGACACGGTCGTAGCCCTAGTATTCGGGACTTG